TATCTCTTGTCTGTTTGTTACCAATGAAGAAGGATGTGTTTCGTTTTTCACAAATCAAATGATTGGTTGTTGGATGATCGAAACATGATTACTCAGAAACTTCACGTGGTCATCGATTGTTTTACAATTTTGTTTAAAAATTTGGATAATCTCAAAGCTAAGGTGTAAACTATGACGTAATTTAACATATGACAGTGAGGTATTCAGTTAAGTATTGGTTGCATCACGCTTGAAATTTCAATAACAATGATTTGTTGAAAATGTTGGTAAATATCTCTGTTGACAAATTTTACTTGCCTCTGTTTGGGTTGATGCAGATCTTACTTTGGAAAATTTTTCTTATTAATGAGCATGGCGTGTATTTTTATCTTCTGAAAACTCGATCATTATTTAATGACATTTACGTTGTTCTTATGGCATCTAGTAATTGTTGATGGGGAAAAGGAATTTTTACCATATATTCTCAATAATATTAATGGTCTTGCGTCGCAGGCTTCCAATTTGCTTAAAACACGTTTCAATGATCACCATATGTCGAGAACATCGATACAGGTTTTGTCAAAGCTCGGCTTTCGACTAAGAGCAAAGTGGTATCGCTCGATGTTTTTCTCGCAAACATGATTACGTCGTTTGTGGGTATCGCACAGACTTTGTACAACTTTTCGTTGAAACAAACAGCTGCTTATGGATAAAAATATGAGAAGTCAGTTAAAGGAAGCGAAATTATCAGGTGTTGTGTTGTCTTTCATCCATTTAAGATTTAATTTTTGCTTCTCAACTAGACAAGGTGATAGATATTAAAGGGAAAATATCCCCAGTCCGTTTCATTGTGATGATTTTACTTCTAGTTCTTTGAGAACAAATGTTTTTCTAAGATAAGTACACAATGGTCACTAGTTACAAAGATACTTTGACAGTATGGAGACGTTAAAAGGAAGAAAGAAACAAGTTTTACATTGCACAATGTTAACTTCGCTCTGTTTTAGTAAATCTGAAAGATGTGTGTCACTTGAGGAGGAAGAGGAGGACGAGGAGGAGGACAGGAGGAGAAGGACGAGGAGGAGGACGAGGAGAAGGAAAATGAGGTGGAGGAGGAGAAGGGGTGGTGTTTCGTATATACGATTTATCGAAGGTTATGAGGCATCGTTTTCTCATAATTGCCTACTGGTCTTTATATCATGTCAGTATAGGCGATAACTCTTGATGCTGTAAATCTGGTAAGGAATTATTCATTGTAAAAATCCCAGTGGTGAAAACTTACTAATTTTGCTAGTAAGACTTGTATGATTATTTGTATCCTCTTGATCCTTTGATAACATCATTTCAATTTCTTTTTCCCCACAAACACGAAAACATTTTTTGTTTTGTTAAATGACGACAATGTGCCGTGTTTGAAAATAGCTCCTTTCGTATTTTCAGTAACGCACACACTTAACAACTTGACCAGAAAAGCATGGCATGACAATAATGCAACAATAGAAATAATGAAACAATAAAAGTCTTGAAATAATGGTCTCGCCATTAGACAATGAAATAATGCGACGATGAAGCTGTTTGTATGGGTGGGTTGATTTGTAAAAAATAATTCTTCATAACAGCTTACGAATGTTTTGCTGTCAAATATGTATTTACGAAAATGAAAGTCGCTCGTTTGCCACGTTTAAAAAGCATGTTCATAATATACGGAATAAAGCAAGTCCTACGCTGACATATCTGCGACCATTCAATCTTCATTATGTTTTATAAAGATGATTTTAACCCACGGTGTAAATGAAGAGGACAGAGGAAAGTAAACAAAGCATAATTACTGTAGTTTAAGAACAATAAAATGTCTAATAAGCACATCGTTTCAGAAATTATTGCTCGACGTCATTTTCAAATGACGCACACTAAAGTAAAATGTAAATTTCAGAATAAAAAATGAATCTGTCGGTATTACGATGTACGGAAATTATCCAACGTGAAGCAATTGTCACGTGATCGATCAAACCATAAACAAAGGTAATTAAAATTAGATCGATTTCTACAACCAATATTTTCAACAGCTAAAGTATAAACAACATGATACTTGATCTTCAAACCGTTAGCACTTATTGATTCAAAGTTTACTTGATGTTTTTTCAATATTTTTTTTTTCTTTTAATGATTTACAAATGACATATCTAATGTTTAACAACTTTCATTCATAAAGGACCTTATTGAATTGCAGACAGAGTGAATGTGAAAGAAAAACTTTATCAAAGGACTTGAAACAAAAGGTTTGGAACGAGTTAGAACTGGAATCATTAAGTATATAGGAACTAAGCTCAGAATAATAAATATCAATTAATTCATTAGCAAGTTGACAAAAGATTTAAAAACCAAATACTTCTTTCTCATAATTTACAACTGACAAATTTTAACTAAATGACAGGAGACAAATTGCATTTTCAATAATCTGACGCAAATATTATTCCAGACATTTGTAAACGGTTTACCACTAGAGTATAACGCAAGAATATAACATATTTAATACTCTTATACTGTAAAACGCAAGAGTATAACATATTTTTTAAACATCAGGATTTTGGAAGAACATTTAAATATAATAATTTACAATATTTTTATCATATATATGAAATATATTTTTAGAATGCGTATGGAGATTGTACATTATCATTTAATATTGAAGATCAAGCAGGTTCTTCGTCATTTTCGTCAACATACATTTATATAGAGTAAGGTTTTTCGGCATTTAAAAGTACTGTTATATGAGTGTTTTCTCTACCCGTTGAAAAATTTACAGTGTGTAATTAATGAACAAAAAGCCAGAAGTTCAAACGGCTACATGCAAGAGAGGCAAAACTTGAAAATTATGCCACAATTTTTGTCCCCTCCCTCCAAAACAAAACAAAGTCTAGAGATATTGATTGATGAAAGAGAGATTATAACATGAACTTCTTTCATTTAAATTTACTTGATATTGTAGAAGTTCATTTTAACGATTTATGATAAGAAGCAAAAGTCGTTTAACATGCACAAGTTTATCGTTGTCTAACATCAAGTACTGTCATCACAAGTAGATAATTTGGTGAAAGCAAATTTTTTGTAAGCAATCTCTATCAACATTATGTTAGCAACGAAGCTTCCACTATGCCCATCGCTAACATTGCATTGCAAACATTCAAATATATAATTCCTACTTCTAAAAAAGCTGCAAAGCATGCTAGGATACGTACACCAAATCATTGGCAAAAGAAACAGCCTTCGACCGCTATTTCAATATCTATTAGTGTTTCCGCGCTGGAAAAATGCACGAAGGCTTCTATAGGTGAAATATGCCCAGACAAGCACATTTGAAAATTAGCTGTAAAACTGTGTTTTATTCAATTACAAAATCCTCCGGAACTAGAGATGTCAAGTTTGAATGATGAGCAAGCCCATTTCACGCCATAAACAGTAAAGTACAATACCTTAATTATGGAGAAGACCGTGGTCCGAACCATACAAAAGCAAAACAGGTTCCAAGCGTCCTTCATTTTCTACCTGAATGAACAAGAAAGCAAATTGTTACACAAACGGAAAAACAAGTTGGCTCTTCGCTAGTTTGATAAGGTAATATTTATCATGATCATGCCATGTTTTCAAATTAGATAAAAAAAATGGTTCCTTGTTTGAATAATGTTTTCCACAGTATTCGGAACAAAACCAGCTTTATAACCAGCAGATGCTTTAATTCTGAGTTATTTTTACAAATCGCAAGGAGAAGAAAAATACACTTGATGAAACATGACAATATGTCCACCTTCTCCTTCTAAATTTCTGACCGCTGTTAACTATCGGTTCGTTTGTCTACTGTCTCGTTCATGTCATTTTCTTTGGTCTCAATGCCGCCTCTAATTTATTACTACAGACAAATACAGTTGCGATCTCTAACTTTGAAGGATAAGGATAAGGATGTACTTATGAGGGCGGAAAATAGACAATTTAACATGATGGCGCATATTTTATAAAATGTCGAATAATTTTCTGTGCTACTGTTTTTCTGGAGTTAACGGGAGTTAGTTAATGATATCCGGGTTTAAAGATCTTGTAGACATGGGAATTTTCTTATAGCGGGGCTCCGAACTATTGTTTTTTCTACCCATTACAAAGCAGAAAACTTCAATTCGTTTCAAGTTGTAATCCTAACAACGAAACATCCTCTAACTTTCGTTACCGCGCCAATCTTCCAATTTGTAAAAACCGCTACCCGAATTAACGAAAGACAATGAACGACTACGTGTAGTTTTGCTTTTGCCGCGCATCATTTTCAGTCGTTAAAACTCGTAACGAAGACCGTAATTAAAGCAAAGTCGAATTCTGCAATTTTCACTTTCAAATATCACTTCGACCAACATTTTCTACAAATTTTATCGCATACAAAAAAAAAGCTTCGATACTTGCATAACACTAACTCGCGACATTGCTACAAGCACTCAAAAGCTTTAGCCCCTTTTCTTAATAAACACCTTTTTAGGATCTATCATACTTTATTTATTATATTGATAATTTACATTAAAATAGAGATGCTGGCGTTTATGCAATCGAATCTTTGTTTTCTTCATAGAACAAGAATCATTAGTATGCTTTTCATATTTCTACAAGCCCTCATCAGTATAGTCTCAGGAAGGTAAGTAAAAATAAAACAATCATCTATCGAGTTCACTTTACTGGGTTTGTTAACTGTCTTAGATTGATTGCTTCTTGTGGGAAAACCGCCATACCGAAAATGGAAACGTTAAAGTGAATAAACAATTATTGCCTAGATTTTCTAAATTATATAGCAACACCAAACCAACAAGAAATGATTATTTCTATAAGAAACAGTTTACAACTGAGAAGCTTACAAATTAAATTAACAAAGAAACGCTTCTTGCGTTTACAGACCCAATTTGAACCCAGGCTTTAAGATCGACCAGTTCCGCACAGAACAATTACAACTACACAACCACTATAGATCATTACACGGAGCGCCACCAATGACCAAAGATGAAAGGTACACTGTTCCTTATATATAAACTGAATAAATATCCTAGAACATTTAACTGACGTTAAATCATTGTTTCTTCTTTTGCACAAACAATATAGTTTTGGAAATATTACAGGAAATATAAGACACAGAGAAATTCTTTTAAATTTCAAAAGTACCAATGTGCGTCATATCTTATCTAGACTCGAACGTGAAGCTCAAAAATACGCTGAAAGATTAGCTTCAACTTATCCCCCCAGTTTGGACCACTGTCGTCGTGGATCGTGTAACAGTTACGGAGCTGGAGAAAACCTTGCTCTAGCTTGGGGACATACATCAGTAGAAATAAACGCAACAAAGGCTTGGTATGTGCACCCAACTTCTCAAGGATAATACGATTTCAACTCTCTTACATATCTACATTACCAACAGGTATAACGAAATATGGGACTTCAACTATTGTCATGGAGAGAAAAATTTTAACAGACCTGGACACGAAGGCAAGAAAATAGGACATTTTACGCAGGTACTCCTGAATGAGATGAATACAGTTCCTTTTCTTTTCTTACATAAACACCTTTACGCAGGTAATATGGAAAACCTCAACCAAACTTGGCATTGGTTATGCACGAAATGCAGACAGGACAAGAGTTTACGTCGTGGGAAGATATTTAGATCATGGAAACGTGCTTGGTCGATATGCAGAGAACGTTCCATTTGCCAATTATTTGCTCAGATCATTTCAAAACAACTGTAAAGGTATGTTATTAAAGATGAATGCAGAAATGGCATCTTAAGGGAAGATTCCTTGACGCTTTTTAAAAAACTTTGCCTGCTGCGCAGATACAGATGAATTATTTCTATGCACTGAAAGATCTACAGTTTTCAAAGAAAGACCTACTCACTAAGAAAAAATGTCACTTTATCGAGGCGTATAAAATAAAAAGTGAATTACGACATGATATAGATTGTGTGCAATGTAGGTTTATTCCTAGGTCAAAATGGCGGTTTATCACCTTGGTCAGCACCTGGCGAGTGCACCCGAAGTTGTGGCGGAGGTGTACGATTTAAAACACGAACATGTACAAACCCCAAGCCATCGTTGAATGGTCGGGATTGTGATGGTGAGACACAAGAGCTAGCAGCCAAAGAATGGTGTAACATTCAGGTATTCAAAAACACGGATTAAATGAAGTAATAGAAAGAATTGCACGTGACAAAAGGTTGTGACGTTTTGCTAGAGCTGTTCAAATAATGAAAACCATAGAGATCAGCAATGTGAAGCAAGAGGAAAGACTGCTGATTCATATACTTTACCCAGTAAGTGACACGACGAAAGATGTTTAAAAAAGGGTTTATTTGTGAAGAGTTATTGAATTGATTGAATTGATCTCACAATAATGCACTCATGTTAACAAAAAAATTTCACGTTAAAACATCTAAAGATGTCAACATGTACAGATGACGTAGTGATGACGCGAAGATGACGTAGTAATGATGCTTTCTTACTTTTCTCAGATAGTCAATGTACTCTGTATTGTCATAGTGGCACTGGAAATGCTTACTTGTCTTTGGGAGATGTGGACGACGGTACACATTGTAACTCGGACAGCGGTGTTTGCGTGTATGGAAAATGTATCTCAATGCCACCGTACGTAGCTCCTACACAGCCTGCACCAACAGGTAATTTTACTTTGATGACGCATCATTCAACTTGACTCACATGAATGGTGACGTAAGATACAACATAAAAAGACACGAGACTTAAAAGCAACATTTCGACTTTATTTTCAAAGTTGTTATCAAGCGAAATCTTGTCTCTTACTTTTATAACTGGAATCTTGAGTTTACAAGATGATATTTTTTTTCGAGAGTATATTTTACCTCATATGTATCGTAACATAATAAAATCAATAACACAATATGTTCAAAGTGTTTTCTTTTATTGCATCTAAACAAAAACTTTGCATTCTCCTCCTTAGAAGTCGACCTTTATATATATATATATTTGACAGGTGTAATTGATGGTTCGTATACAGAGATACCAAGTGACAACGTTTGGGATAACAAAATTTTCATTGTTCCAAATGGCGCGATCAATGTTACTATCACAAATCACGATTACAATGGAGTGGAAATGTGTAAGAATTCATACGGATATTGATGTGTTAGCGCTTATATATTTCTTAATACATTATCTTTTACAGTGGTGGGCTATCAAACGACCACTAGTGCTGGTTGCAACTGGGGAGAAAGAAGTTGGATGAATGATTGGGTTGACTATTATGGCTCGTTTACAGCCCAACACAAGACTGCCGGTGTTACATATAATTACGAACGCCTTCCTAAAGATTCAACTATTACTATTTCTGGTAAGTCCTATAATCTAAATAACATAAGATACATTTTCCCTGCGGTTTCTATAGACATTCCTAAGTTTTTCAACTTGTCAACACCATACTTTTCTGGTTTGAACGTGATTCCCAGGAATCTTAAAATAAATTTAATTACCCGACATAAAACACTTTCAATAAGGCCATGGATTAATTATGAGTTGATCGTGAAACGTTTCGTCTTTAACGTAAGAGCTGGACATAATCAGACTAAGTGAATTACATAGGAGGTTTGAAAGATTAATTTTTTACAAAAAGTGATGAAGTTGACGATGTGGTTAAATGTTGTGCATAAAATGGAGTTGAACGGAATCCAAGAATCTAGTGTAAAATTTACGTGCATTAAGAACATCATAAGCGTGTAATTTCGATAGTCAACACTCACAAGTTTGCTTTGCTGTTCAACCATTTCTATCAACGATTGCTGTCTGAACACTACTTCAACAATTGAAAAGCGGGTTATTTTTTACCACGTGATCTACTTAAGCATTCAAAACTATTCATTACGTCATACTATAACACTTGGTAGATATGAAGTTCAAGTAGAAATGTCAATCCAACTGGATTTACACTGACAACAAGGTCAAAGTACTATGTAAGAGAAACACATGAAGTTGTATGGGAAACGACCAAAATAATATCATCATGTTTAGGTCCAGTCAAACCAACAGAAGGTTATTCTTTGGTGATTTACGTGGAAGGAAAGAAAAGAGCAAAAATTTCATGGAAATATGAACTGACCGGGTAATGTTTCTGGATGTAGACTCATGGAGAAAACATTGTAATGGAAATCAGAGGGAAAGGGGAAGCAAACGATGCTTATCTTTGGTCTTTTTCACCATGAAAATGATGTTACAAACATCAAAGAAGAGTAGTAAACATTCCTCATAAACAAGTCTTCAATCATGTTAATAAAAAATTTGATTTGTTAATGCTGTGGTTACTTATCCATGTCTGATTTTCTTTGAGAGTTTGTCCTAACTCTCTTCGGCCTTATCCTCTCTGTCTGCTAAACAGGCAGTTTTTGAAGTTGCACCACGTGGTTTTCATGACGTCAGATTAGTTATGACCACGTGACTAGGACTTACTATCGCAAGAGAAGTCTTGTTGTCTCGTCCGTCGTCAGCAATAAAATTGCTCCAGTTTTAACAATTAAGCAGTTTTTCCCTTCAAGTCTGCATATTAGGTAAAGTTTGAAGCTGGTAAGTCATACTAATATATAGAATAAAGCAATTCCTACGCTGACGTATCTGTGACTATTCAATCTCCATTATGTTTTATAAAGATGATTTTAACCCACGGTGTAAATGAAGAGGACAGAGGAAAGTAAACAAAGCATAATTACTGTAGTTTAAAAACAATAAAATGTCTAATAAGCACATCGTTTCAGAAATTACTGCCCGACGTCATTTTCAACTGACGCACACTAACGTCAAATGTAAATTTCAGAATAAAAAATGAGTCTGTAGGTATTAAGAAATTTTTTGAAATTTCAAAAGTACCAATGTGCGTCATATCTTATCTAGACTTGAACGTGAAGCTCAAAAATACGCAGAAAAATTAGCTTCAACTAATCCAGTTTGATCCACTGTGTCCTCCATCGTGTGATCGTAAAGGCGCAGGAGAAAACCTTGCTGTAGCTTGGGGAGGTACATCAGTAGAAACAAACGCAACAAAGGCTTGGTATGTGCACTGAGAATTTCATCCCTCAGGATACTATGATATCAACGTTGATCCAGTCTATGAATTTCTTTATTCCCTAAACTGTATCCTTCACGATATCGTTATAGCAATAATTTATTAAGTCAATGATTCTTTAAGAGAAAGTTCTTTCTTTGAGTTAGTTGAAACTACTTGAGCTAAAGATATGTTGTTCCTTATTTTCGAGTGTCAACTTGAAATAGCTATAATAAGAAGATTGTTGTTGTATATCATCGTCGTCAACAGGTATGACGAGATATGGGACTACAACTATTGTCATGGAGAGAAACATTTCAACAGACCTGGACACGAGGGCACACGGTACACATTGTAACTCGGACAGCGGTGCTTGTGTGGACGGAAAATGTATCTCAATGCAACCGTACGTGGCTCCCACACAACCTGCACCACCTGGTAATTTTTGATTTGTGATACTTCGTATAATTTGAATGAATTTTCGTTGGTGATCGATCTTCGTATGACAAAACATGTCACCAACTAAACCGTTAACGGGTTATCATTCTTACATGAAGTAATGAAATGTCTTTCATTCTTCAGATGGTAGAAAAGGCTCATACACTGAAATTCCCAGTTCAAATGCCAAAATTTGGTTTAAAGAATGTGGTATAATGAACAAGAACTACGATGCTGTCAGATCAGTAAGATATTGTATTACTACAGGGGTTAGCTGTGGATTGGGGAGGGATTCATGAGATCACCCTAGACTGGCTGTGATGACATTAGGTGATAAATTTCATGGATTACAAAGAGTGAGTTGAGCAAAAAGAAAAAATACTATTGCACACAGTTGTTCAACAGATAGGCAATGAAAAAATTATAATGTATGCCATAATTAAAATATAATGTATGCCAAAACATGTTAAAATATAATGTATGCCATAATTAATATATAATGTATGCCATAATTAAAATATAATGTATGCCGAAACATGTTTGCTATAAAAAAAATTGCCGTTTATTCTAAATGTCTTATAACCAATGAGAAAAATTATTAAAGAAGTCTTCACCACAAGAATTTAGTTATTCACGAAATAGTAAATTCTTTCTAATGGTGATTTAAAATGCAAGAATGTTTTTGCAGTGTTTGCTTACAAAATAGGTGGTGATATGGTATACGAATTTGGCAAGGTTGATGGGATGAACTCTTTGGTGGATTATTATGGAAAATATGAAAGAAAATTTGATAATGTTGGTGTCAAATTTGTTTACAAACACACAAAAAAAAATCAACCTTTGAAATTAGAGGTATGTTAGGATTAAAAAGAACTCATCTTTAACATACTCAAAGGAAAACATCTCAAAGACACATTTTTTGTGAAAATAAGACTTTGTGTTTGTATTTAAGGAATCCAAAGAGCTGATACACAACTTACTTGTTTCGCAATTTTAGGTCCAGTGAAACCTTATCCAGGCTACTCTGTGGTCTTTTTTGTAGAAGGATTTTCCAGAGCAGATATTAGCTGGCGCTGGGACTAAAGCAATAATATATATTCATTGTTAACTTATTAAATGAATGAAAATGTTCTTTTAACACAATTTTCAAATCAATATAGTGGACTGTATAAGATAGCAACATAAAAATTTTTTTGCATGATGAAATGAAAGTATTAAATAAATCTAAACACAATTTGAATACTTGAATTTGAGGGCATCGACCGTTTGACTGGAAATAAAGAGTAAAAAGACCTGGCTAATACAAAATACTTTGTTTTGAAATGTGAGATTTTTAATTTTGAGTTTGAACAAAACTATTATGTATATACTACGATTGGTTGGTCAGCCACCAACCGCCAGAATTAAAAATTTTCAAACAAACTAAAACTGTACAGTTCTATAAAACTTCTACACAACACAAGTAACATAATATTTCTTACACTTACCAATGATTTTTATCTGTAGACTTTTAGCTTTTCTGATAAATTTTATTTTACAAAAATGTAGAAGTTTGAATAAGAGCTATTGCTCTATCTAGACTGTAAATATTTATAAAAAATTGCTTTTTTTTAAATCGCGCGCCATCTTGGTTCTTTATTGAATGTAGATTGAAATAACATGAAGTAGTTGATAGTACAAACAAATTGTCGCTGTACATAAAGAAACGCTGTCTCGAAAAAATCGCTCAACTTTTTTATTGAACAGAATTTCAGCCAATCGTATGTGACTATAAATGACCAATTGCCTTTGATTACAAACCTTCTCTTTGATATAAATCATGTACGCGTTTCCAGAACAGTAAAATGGATAAATTTTTGTCGATGTAATGAAAGAGCTTGTGATTAAACAAAAAGGGCATTGCATAAAATAAAATTGATTTTAAACAGCTTATTTGAGTTAGCACCTAATTTACCAATTGTGACATTTCCTTTGAAAAATTTATAAAAGTATATACTGTATTCTTTTGGTTTCTAGTGACATCGAGGAACTGATATGTTTATTGATACAGAGCTCCGAATAAATGATATCTTCTACAATCCTTTAGCTAATAAGCAGTTTGCTCTTTTTTATGTTGAAAAGCGTCGTAGACTGACACTTAGGGTTTTCAGTTGACGCATTGAAAAAAAGATCCCTTTTCACACACACTTTAATGCATTAAACGCTCTATTCACGCAGATATTCTTTGGTTTAGACGTTGAGAAATGCCTTTATATTGGCTTCATCGTCAAGCAATACATGTAAACACCTGTCATAATACACAAACATCTTTACCAAATTCACATCCTTATACATAACAGACAATATAGCCACAAAGTTCATTTACTCCGTGCTGGGACTAAGTTAACGTTGATAACTGACGATGGGATAGTTTCCATTGACAAAATATTTTCAGTGTCGTTACAGAAAAGTAAGAATGACGAGTAAAACAAAAGGATATGGGGAGATTTACCAAAGATGACATTTTGAGTCATACCAAGTTATCAACAATCAATATTTTTGACTATCACAAATATTTTCTTGCTTTTTTAGTGTATACTTAGACGAAAAATATGGACAAGAAAGCCTTAAAAAGAAAGCTTTGTGACAAACATAGGTGTATGAAGGCGCTCGAAGACGGAAAATATCTGTTTCCAATATTTCAATAAAAAATATTTTTGCAGGAGAAAAAAATCACATCACCTAACTGTACGTGTATGCGTGATCCTTTAAGGAATAAAACAAGCGTTTGTCCGTTGTTTAAGGTTTCCTACACTGGCCGGCAAAAGTACGACGCAATTCCAAGTACACGATCAAACTAAACGGCAATTACACGAAAAATTAAACGGCAAAGAAGACAAAGGACGCACAAGGTAGCAAGGAATGTCAATTAATTTGAGCATATTTTTTTAAATTTGTCTAGTATGTCATGGTTTAATTATTGTGGATACATTTCACGTCAAGAAAATCGAAAGGAATTTAACAGATAAAATAATATTTATTGACAAATCGTGTCACAATAGGTCTTCCTATAACCTATCTGTTGTCCTTTTTATATAATTTCAAGGACAACAGGACAACTCTCTACGGTATTAGTTAAAAACTAATACTTTAATAACATGAATTTCACCAGTCTTAACGGCACTTGTAATGTATTTAATGGTGAAAACTCCTGACAGAACTTTGAAAACTGTTTTAGCATTGAAGCAATATTTGAGCTCATCAATAAATGTCGCATGAACACATGTTTGTCGGAAAACATTGGGTGAGAAAATTTCGAAGCGCGAATATATGATTTGTTGTCCTATTTGGAGCTGTCGCTTTTGCAAAACGTTGCTTTGCAACATTATTTTGAATATTTTCTTTTAGAAAAAATATGCTGAAATTTTTCTTGTTCGTGCAGACTTTCATTTATGTGACAAAACGGTAAGTACGTTAAAGTGGCAGCATGTTGTTTATACTGGTACTTTGTGGATGTATGGGAGTAGCACGGTGTTTACACTGGTACTTTGTGAATGTATAGAGGCAGCATGTTGTTTATACTGGTACTTTGTGGATGTATGGGAGTAGCATGTTGTTTATACTGGTACTTTGTGGATGTATGGAGTAGCATGTTGTTTATACTGGTACTTTGTGGATGTATGGGAGTAGCATGTTGTTTATACTGGTACTTTGTGGATGTATGGGAGTAGCATGTTGTTTATACTGGTACTTTGTGGATGTATGGGAGTGCATTTTGTTTATACTGGTACTTTGTGGATGTATGGGAGTGCATGGTGTTTACACTGGTACTTTGTGGATGTATAGAGGCAGCATGTTGTTTATACTGGTACTTTGTGGATGTATGGGAGGAATGTTGTATATACTGGTACTGTGTATGGGAGTAGCATGATACTGGTACTTTGTGGATGTATGAGCATGTTGTTTATACTGGTACTGTGGATGTATGGAGTAGCATGTGTTTATACTGGTACTTTGTGGATGTATGGGAGTGCATGGTGTTTATACTGGTACTTTGTGGATGTATGGGAGTGCATTTTGTTTATACTGGTACTTTGTGGATATGGGAGTGCATGGTGTTTACACTGGTACTGTGGATGTATAGAGGCAGCATGTTGTTTATACTGGTACTTTGTGGATATGGGAGCAGCATGTTGTTTTATACACTGGCATTCCAGGATGTACCATTGTAACTGGTACTTTGTGGATGTATGGGAGTGCATGGTGTTTACACTGGTACTTTGTGGATGTATAGAGGCAGCATGGTGTTTATACTGGTGCTTTGTGGATGTATAGGAGTAGCATGTTGTTTATACTGGTACTTTGTGGATGTATGGGAGTGCATGTTGTTTATACTGGTACTTTGTGGATGTATAGAGGCAGCATGTTGTTTATACCGGTGCTTTGTGGATGTATAGGAGTAGCATGTTGTTTATACTGGTACTTTGTGGATGTATGGGAGTGCATGTTGTTTATACTGGTACTTTGTGGATGTATGGGAGTGCATGTTGTTTATACTGGTACTTTGTGGATGTATAGAGGCAGCATGTTGTTTATACTGGTACTTTGTGGATATATAGGAGTAGCATGTTGTTTATATTGGAAGGTAGCATTAACATTACATCGACATTAGCATTTACAAGGCAATTTTTTTATGTTTTAGGGAGGTATTTGCACAACAGGTGAACAATACACTTTTGAACACAAAGTTTATTATAATTTCAAATACATCCTCCAAGTCTGAACCCAAAGTTTACCACAGTATTTACACAGCAGAAGCATCTCCAAGAACAAAGGTACCTCTAACAAAAGTACTTCCAATAAAAGAAGTCTTTCCAACAACAGAATTACCGCCAATAACAAAAGTATCTTCAACAACAAAAGTACCTCCAATAAAAGAAGTCTATCCAACAACAGAATTACCGCCAATAACAAAAGTACCGTCAATAACAAAAGTAACTCCAATAACAAAAGTACCTCCAATAACAGCAGTATCTCAAACAAGTGAAAGAATCTTTACAACGTCATTGACAGAATTTATCAAAGCAACAGCAAGCACAGCAGTGACAGTCACATCAACTCCAGCAACAGTAACACCAAAAGAAACACCAGTAGTCACTGCAAAACCCACAACACTACTACAACTGTCTAGTAAGTTATTCATCGGGCAAACATTTATGTACAAGCACGTCAAAGATGTTTCGCTGCATGCGTGAGACATTTTCAAGCACGTGAAAGATGTTTCGCTGCATGCGTGAGACATTTTCAAGCACGTGAAAGATGTTTCGCTGCATGCGTGAGACATTTTCAAGCACGTGAAAGATGTTTCGCTGCATGCGTGAGACATTTTCAAGCACGTGAAAGATGTTTCGCTGCATGTGTGAGACATTTTCACAACATAAGCTCTCCTTTCAGTAACTCTTATTTTCGCAGGTGGATTGTTTAGCGAGTTTTTACCACGTGGAGAAGTGAGAATTTTCTTGAAAGTCAGAAACGATGTGAAATATTTTTATATTCGGACAATTCTCTGGGACAAAGGAACGTATCTAGGTATGTTGACAAGTTTGAAATGATTGCCGATTTGCCGGTTAAGGATTTCATATTTCCTCCTTCGCCATAGTTATACGCAGAAGAAAACAAAGCTCGCCAAAAGCAAAAACAAGATGGTCAGGCATTAAAGTATATAGAAGCCGTCGTTTTCCAGGTTACGGTTATTCATTGTCAGCAATAATAAACAACTTCTTTGAGATCATCATCGTGTTACCATAAATGAACGAAATCAGACTTCCTGAATGTTAAGTGCTATTAATTAAATACCCACATTTATAAAATATAGTTGTTCACTGCAGCCCCTTGTGATAATTACGCGTTTATTTCTCTCCTTTAGTAAGAGTAAGGCCGGGATATGAGTTGGATCTTGGAGTGTGGGCAAGCGTTTATTGCAGGAAAATGAGATATGGATACTTGAAACGACACATCTGCGAATGCAGTAATACTCCAGCTGCTTTCTATTGGAAAATTTACAAATAGCTTCTTGTGACGTAACGTGACGTAACGTGACGTAATGAAAAATACAATTTCTTTAATGTCTACCTATTTCACTGCGAGGTTTACAATCATCAACATATCGTTAACTTTCTTTATTATTTCTATTTAATCTTTATCATTTTAATATATTTTACATATCACATATGTATATATAATGTGCATAAATATGTAACAAACGAGTTTGGCTCACGTATACCAAATTTCAAGAATTTATCATCAATGCAGAAATTGGTTATTACTGCACCGGAAAATTAGCTGTGGAGCGTCGATAGTGACATCACTCTGGATAACCAATGCAATCAGGAAACGGCAAAATGACGTAGGGATGTGAACAGGCATATCTCGAAGAACATTCTGCCATTAATTATTTTGCTCGTATTTACGACAATCGGAAATGAACGTGTGAAGTGGGAATTTTAGCAGTCCAAATGAAAATGCAAATGTTTCAAACAATTGAAAGACTCCTTTGTAACCCCGATTCTCAATGAAAGGAAGTTTAGCGATACAAACATAAAACACTCAGACTTTATAAAGAATTGAACACATTCACTTGATGAAGGATTTTGAGCGGCAATAGAAAATAAGTAGATTGAAACGAAAAGCTTAAAAAATTGAACTACAGCTCGAGGTAGGTAGAAAGTACAAAATACTAATGTGCCTTTACAAACACAAATGACAATTGATCTGATTAATAGTATGTTGAACAATCTACAATCAGAAAGTCGATTAACTGAATATTTCACATTGCTAAAGAAATGAGAAATAATTTTTCTCACAGCGCTCATGCAGCGAAATACAATAACTGTTCACATCCTACAAATTGCAACAATCGATGATATTCTCGGCACATAACCTTTTGCGTATATGGATGCATATAATGCACAATGCAGCAACAAAGTTTCTCGCGTTCATTGTGTTGAAAAGACCTTTTACGTCTTAGTACCGTTGGTGGTATTTTCACTTAAATTTGACTTCGCTTATATATTTTTAGAGTTATAAAGCTTTGTTCATTAAACAAATATAATCACTATACTACATCGTAGTGCATGATTGACTTCAGAATATAGAGTATTTTTGCAGGGACCATTTAAACTTTTACACCATACCACATTCTTATGCTCTTTAAAATGTTTAATGTAACAGAAAGATGGGTGCTACTAAAGTAATTTTATTGAAGTCACCAGGCCGTTTTAAATGATCTTTGCAATGCATACAAAAAACTGTCATGTAAATTTTCCTGAAATGTTAACACTTTTAAATAAACGCATGATAAAACGGAGAAAATACTCCTTTAAAAATCCTCACTGATACACTGAAGAAATATCATGTTGGCATCAATGATGAAGACCGAAAAAAAACATTTAGGAACTTAATGATGTCGTTTCTAAGGCACAAAAAGGAGCTTTCGCTTCAAACAATTAGGTTTAATTCAAAGACAAACCAATTTGTGAGACGTAAAAGACTAAATATGCATACCTATTTGTGAGACGTAACATACAAAATATGCATACCTATTTAATTAGAAAATAACTCTTTATGACAAGAGTTTGTTTACCACTACTTTATTAAAGTAAAAACAGATCAAACTGCATTATATTAAATTGTTTGCCAATTCATATACAACGAAATGTACATTTTGTGAAGTGTTTAAGAAGCATCATTTTTCGAGGATTACTCGTACAAATGCGGTCTTTGTTATTCGTACGCTCCAAGTAGCTTGTGTGGGCGCCACCTATTGACGGTAGCTATGTATTAATGAGTACATTTTTGTCTGTAAACACAGGAAATTGTTCAGGCACCAAATATTAAAGGTTAAATACCTCGTTAGCGACACAAATAATACGAAATTTTATCCAGATAGTGTCAGAAATTGAATTTAGCGATCAAAAACATTTCTTTTTCAAGGATAATGTTTGTGTTTCATTTTCTGTTGCTACTCCAACTCGCAACTTATGCTCGTGCAAGACCAAGGTATGTTTAACCAACATAAACGGTGACTAAGTTCAGTATCAAGGAAACAATTTTGAGCTATTTTATTTTCTAATTATTTTGAACGAGATAAAAGTCCATTCTTATCTTCATGACAAATTTCAGAGAGACATTCGATGAACTGGACGCTCTCGACGAAATCTTAACACAAGCGTCAAATGATGCAAATTTGAGTCCTGGTTTCGATATCAATGCCTATCGTCAAAACCAACTCGACTTGCATAATTACTATCGAAGTCTTCATGGAGCTCCTTTGATGACTAAAAATGACACGTATGTTTTGTTAGACGTTGTATGCATGTCGATAAGTTAAATATTTTACGACTTCTATACTTTATTGCCACAACGGCCTTTTCCACCCTCGACCAAAACGCAAGTAAGGTTTCCATCTTGCAATCATTAAGCAACAATAGTATATAAGAGGTTATAACTGTTTGTTTTTGTAAGCAAGTGTAACAGACTGAACAGCACCTCGAGAATTTCGGATTGCTAGAGCGCAAAGTTTCAACTGTTGTTGACTATTCCAAACCTTAGTTACGAGTGACATTAGTCACCCCAAGGCAAAAGCCTGTCCCCGATTTCTGAAAGATGTAGCAACCGAAGTCCCTCTACTTCAAGAACACAACTTGAAGATTTTTCTCTTCAACTCTTAAATGCGTAAATTATTAAAGTTTCCATCACTTTTTCCCCATCACCACAGGTCAGAGAGAAGTGAATGGTGTGACTGATATTATGGAACAAAAACATTTTACCATCCTTTAATATCTTCTTATTAAAACCACCAGATTAACCGCTCAAGCACAGTCCTATGCAGAGGAACTAGCAACTCGCAACGCCTTGAGGCATTGTGCTGACACGCCTGGCTGTAATCCTTATGATGCGGGAGAGAATCTCGCGTCAGGAGGAAACATAGAATTGAACGCCACGGTCTTGTGGTAAATATTACATATCTTATATTTATTTTCAAAATACGTTCTCGGAAGAGTTTGCCGAATGATCAACGTCAATGCGTTTTTACCAAGGTACAATGAAATACATGATTATAATTTCTGCTACGATATGGACACCTCTCCAACAAAACCGGGCAGTCAGGACAGACAAATCGGCCACTTCACGCAGGTATAACCATTAAAAACAATCAAGTGGTTCACCGTTTACATTTTTATCAATTGCGAGAGCAGCATCCAATATTTTGTGATGTTCAACTACGCATTTTATTAACACTTTTCGTCAGGTTGTATGGGAAGGATCCACCGAACTTGGTATTGGCTACGCAAGAACAGCAGACGGAAGAACTGTTTATGTTGTAGCAAGATACAAACCGGCCGGTAATGTCAGATCACCGACGAGGACTCTCTATCGAGATAATGTCAAATTTCCGAATTATCTCAATGCGACTATCGATAACAATTGTCAAAGTACGTAACTTTATTCATGTAAAACTCCATAACAACGTTGGCTTTCATGTTTACTTAACGACAACGATTAATCCCCGAAATCCCTGCGTAACTTCAACACAATAGCGAACCAATGATATTTATGATTTACGGTTGTTACACAGGAACAAATGGTAACTTCACAGACTGGATGGCCGACCCCAAGTGTTCAAGATCGTGTGGAGGCGGCGTTCTTTTAGACATTAGAACTTGCACAAATCCAAAACCTTCACTTAATGGTGCTCTTTGTGTGGGCAATACCAAACGATTACGGTCAACCCAATGGTGTAATAACTTTGTACGGTTTTCTTAATTAACAACTATCACTGTTGTGTCTTTCATTATTTTTTAAATATGGTTTTATATTTATAAATCCATTGTCTTTTGTTAAGAAATGTTTGGCGAATGAAGATACAAGAGGTTTTCAGTGTTCAGCACGATTTTATCGAAGTGGGCGAGCATATACTTTTCCGGGTAAAATTCTCTTGTGTAAAGCTTTAATAAGGCCTTTGCTTGATGAAATCTATGTAGAATTGGCTTTTAATTTTAGATCAGGAGTGCGTGTTGTTTTGCTTCCTGGCAGATCCACGATTTGTTGAGAAGGCTGGAAATGTGGACGATGGAACTCACTGCTCAAACGGATCCTGCGTTAATGGAGTATGCATGGTAATGGATCAGTATGTTGAAGGAACAAGACCACCATCAACAACAGCAGAACAAACGACAACAGAAGCAACAACAGCTGAACCAACAACAACAGAAGCAACAACAACAGAAGCAACAACAACAGAAGCAACAACAACAGAAGCAACAACAGCAGAACCAACAACAGCTGAACCAACAACAACAGAAGCAATAACAGCTGAACCAACAACAGCAGAACCAACAACAGCAGAACCAACAACAGCAGAACCAACAACAGCAGAACCAACAACAACAGAAGCAACAACAGAAACAACAACAGCAGAAGCACAAACAAAACCAAAAAGCAAACCAACAACAGCAGAACCAACAACAAGCAGAACCAACAATGAAGGAACAAAAAAAAGCAGAACCAACAACAAAGAACAAAATAAAAAACAGAAGCAACAAATAGCAATAGAAGCAAACAACACAACAGAACAACAACAGAAGAACAAAGCAACAGCAGAAAAAACAGCAGAACAACAACAGAACAGAAGAACAACAGCAGGAACAACAACAGAAGCAATAACAGCTGAACCAACAACAGCAGAACCAACAACAACAGAACCAACAACAGCTGAACCAACAACAACAGAAGCAACAACAGCAGAAGCAACAACAGCAGAAGCAACAACAGCAGAAGCAACAACAGCTGAACCAACGACAACAGAAGCAACAACAACAGAAGCAACAACAGTAGAAGCAACAACAACAGAAGCAACAACAGCTGAACAAACAACAACAGAAGCAACAACAGCTGAACCAACGACAATAGAAGCAACAACAACAGAAGAAACAACGACAACAGAAGCAACAACAACAGAAGAAACAACGACAACAGAAGGAACAACGACAACACCACAACTACTAATAAGTCTGGGTAAAATGACTAAACTAAGTAAAACAAATACGAAACATGCAGGAATACAACATATGTTTACGAGGTAGTGTATACTTCTTTAAGTTGAAGTTGACAAATACTTTTGTTATCTTAGGAGGAACTCTAAGAGCAACTTTAAGATACAGACGAGGAAGAAGGTTGTTGACGATGAGAAGTGGAGTAAGATTATTTTATCTTTTCATAAGGCGTCCAGAACAACTGAGAGGATTATTACTTGGTAAATTATTATAATGAAAACGGTCGCTGTTGTCAAATTATAATGCTGACTAGTCTATTTTCTATTGACTAAGTTTACCGTACACGAGCAATTGGTTCGTCAAGAAAAATGAAATGGAAATATATCGTACTTCGTCGTCGTCTTTATCGTTTCATAGGTAAGCCTGGGTCCATCCCATGCATCGACAAACAAATCTCAACCTTTATATTATTCAAATATTAATTGCCTATAGGCATGGAGACTTAAACTGGATGTGTGTGTGTGTAGTGCGTGGCTCATACCATTTTACGGTAGTTTGTCGATGTGCATTGCATGGAGTTTTAGGAAAAACCATTGGGTGCATCAAAGTATTTTCCTTTTCACCTTTAAACATTAATATGGCAGGGATCTTGATCGAGATCAGGAACCTAACGACATTGTAGAGTTTGTTCATCATTAAAGATGCAAGCTGCAGTCGCGTTCATATATCTTATCTTCAAATTTAGTGCGGATTCCCACAGGAAGACGATTAGAGACAGGTATATATAATCTTTATTGCCGAAAGCGATGCATAAGACGCCGAGGAAGACGTCGCTGTCGTTGTCGCCCAGTCCGCATTAACATGATATGGTTGGTCATGTAATAATGCCGAAAGACAATTCAAACATTGAGCACCTAATGAATCACAATGAACAAAAAACGACATATGTGCATGTAAACACTCACAAGTATGTCAAAACACAAGCACTTGGTAAGTTAGTCACAGAATTTGCATTAAGTTATAAAAAAAAACCACTTGTAAGCACTTGGATTGAGATTAAACGTTCTTATCCTTAATCGTTTCTTTATTTGACTTATTCTGTGGCACTAATGTTACTACTTGATATAAAATTTGGAAAAAAGTTTGAAAGAGCTAATGAAAGTGTCGGAGTTTGGTCCGATGTCGCGCTGCTGGTTGTGCAATCGAGGAAACTTTGTACAAAACTATAGTAAAAACCTTCATTGGAACAGCGTACTTTTAATGAATTTCGTGTGAAAAAGCTCGATCTTGATTCTTACTCTTTATCATGTTTTTCCAATGTTCTTTACCACTTCCTCGAGCCTGACATCCTAAGTCTACTTCACCTACCGTTAAATCCTCCGATAAATTGTTGTGCGACTTCAACTTCAAGCAAATGCTGTAATCCGATATCGGTGTTTTTGCAATAGTCTCGAAAACGAACACTTCGTTCCAAATAGGACACGTATTGCGTCGTTTCATCGATGTTTTCTTCGTCTGAATTATTCTACCGTCGAGGAGAAGCATTACAATCACGTACGGGTCTTGAAGAAACGAAGAATGAATTCTCTTTTATTAGATGTTCAATTAGCAAAGCACGTAAAAAAGGCAAAATAAAACGCAATTATTAAAATGCCAGAGATTATTAGATATGAAAAATGCAGATCCATTCAATGGTTTCGTTTTAATCAATTTCAAAAAAAAAGAAAAGGAAATGGAGGTTAGACAACTTACCAATAGCAAATATCTTGCTTATAGTTGGCAAATTAGTAGCTTTCATGATAACAACGGTGATTTTATTGCTTAGAGATTGGTACTTCAATGAAACCATCAACTGGCCTTTACGTTTGATCTCTTTAAGGGACAACATCGAGTTGCTCTTCCACTAGATAATGAATATCAACATACAATTTTCTTATCATCATATGAGAAAACGATAACACTTCACACATGACAAGATTACTTTGTGTTCTTGAACGAGCGTTCTCCATATTGGTATGGGTTTCTTTGGACTAAGATCAAGTTCGGACAAATAAAGAACGAGGCTTCCCACTTCATTACCATGGCTGAATGCGTCCATATTATACAATGTTATCTTAACGCTCCCACTTGATATATCATCGCAGGGAACATCGAATTCCACCGTCTCATCAAACACTGGATTGCTAAATGAATGTTGAACCTGCGTCGTGTGCTTTTTCTCCGACATCTCCACCTCAATGTAACTTCCATGATTGACACCAAAAGATGAAGGTACGTTCACCGCGCAAATTAACTGGACAATCAACTTGGAATGATAGTAATTATAGAAAACCATCAATTGAAGTTGACAAACATGAAAGCAAGAATCGCTATAACCTCGCTTAAGTTTTCGGGACTTTCTCCAAAGACTTGGCGTCTCTGCAGACTTCAGCGGTCGGGCGTCATCGGTTTTCGAATCAGGTTCGGAAAACGCGTTCCTTCTTACTGGACACGAAGCAGAACGTATTTCGCAGTTCTCCTCGCTGACTTCAGGTAAAGACCAAAAGTTTGCGGAAGGCTGCACTGGTGTACATTGAGTTTTCACTAATGGCTGTAGCTGTGTACTATTGTTTTCTATTCTGGCAAATCCGTCGGTCTCTTTAAGCTCGGAGTAATTTTCGATATACTGGAGCAAGCGACGACGTTTTATCAAAATAAGGACAGCTAAAAGGACTACGATACCAGCCAGTAAGACAACAATAAGAGTTTCCACCACAGTAGCTGTGTTACCTTAACATGTCAAGACAACATGTTTAACGTTAATTGATAAAAAAAAACGGTATCTTAAAGTTACACATACACTGCCCAGAATAATGATGAATTGTAAATTATGGAAACGAAATTCCAAAGTTTATATACATAGTAATACATGCAAAATACACCAACCCATCTTGAATCAACAGCACTGCTTTCTTAAAAAGTCCTTCTTCATAAAAGCTTTAGCGAGTTTGCAAAGAATGCGCCTAAAATGAAAAAGTAAAATTGCATGAATCATAAATTGACCGAAATACAAGTGACGATAACAGATGAAATTTTAGATTTGAGAGATAACATATAGAAAAATGATAAATGTTTACCTTTAGAAAGTTGAATGAAGAATGTTTACGAGCAATTTTCATTAGCTTGATAGGAATTGAAACGCTTGCCTCGTATATACGCACGTTACTAAAGATCATTCCAGGGAATAACATCGGACACAATTTAACATTCAACATTCCACATATGAACGCAAAACGTCACGGCGCTTCAGCAATATTCAAGTGTATTTTCATGTTAATAACAACAGATTAATTACAAATATGTTCTATGTTACGTATCGGAAGACAAAACGCAAACCAAACATGATAAAACATGCTGAAGGAAATCAATTTAACAATGATTTAATTTGCCATTAACTGCAGGGGACTGGCGGTGCGTCGCAACACGAGTGTCATAATCGCATTGATAATGTTGTAGCTTAACCAGGCGTTTAAATTGTTTGTTTTGTTAAAACGCAGTTCATGATGCTTTCTTGTGTGAATTATAGAATTTCAGTTGATAGACAAACGATTGCTTAACGTTATTTTGACTTAAGAATTATCGACTCGTGTTTGAAAGGAGTTCATCTTTGCCAAAATCGATGAAATTTATACGACCTACGATGTGCTATTGTTGAACATTTATATATATAGACACATATATATTTTGATTATTACTTCCAATTACAACACATCGACTGCCATTAAATGTTTCATTAAAGACAAAACAGAAACTTAGCAAAGACATGGCATTAAATTGAAAGTGTGAAAGTTTTTACCTCGAAATAGCCAATTACCGAAATCCTACATTGAATTCAAAATAAATCAATATTGTGATGCAAATTTCTCAGCTGAAGAGAAACAAAATTTCAATAGAAAAACGCGAAGTTTCAAGATAGTTGAACTAGATTATTGACGGTATGAGAGAATTTGATCAGAAGGCAAGTTCGGACACATATAAAAAAACGAATGAGTTTTTAGGACATGGGTAAGGCGTTGATTTTGCATAATCAGAGTTGTAGACAATTTTTTAACGTCGAGAACGCTAAAAAAAAGACAAGGACACTATTTTTTTTATTCATTCAAAGTACTTAATTGTATTTTTTATTTGTCTTTGTGAATTTCAGGCTCCGAAAGTGATGGCAATGGATTAACAGCATTAATAGCTGTATTATCGGGAACAATTGTCATACTTCTAGTCATTTTAATATATATAAAATATCGAAGTAGAGAAACACGTCGCCTTAGCCGTGAAAGCTCTGATTTATCCCTGAGGAAGGTTCAACGAACAAGGACTTTATCCATCTTTAGCAGAAGTGGACGTTTATCGGTCTACGAGAACGGATCCGCCCCTGACTTCGACATTCCATTGATCAGAAAAACACCGAGCGATTCCCCGAAGTCGACATGCCAACTACATTTCTCCTTCTTTTACAACTTTCAAGAAAAGCAATTGACCGTTCAAGTGATCCAAGCCCAAAATCTGCCAAAGTTGTTTGGCCTACAGTCTGGAGTATTAGTTAAAGTATTCACGAGAAAATAAAAAAGGCTCTTTCAAAGCGACAAACGAGTTAAACGAAACGTTAAATTATTCCATTTCAGGTTTCTTTGTTGGACATCAAAGGAGAATTAAAGGAAGAGCTAGGAAAGACGTCTATTTTTTATAGAAAGAATTCTGTTTTTAACACAGTGTTATCCAGTAATGACATCGATATGCCAGAGCTACGCGAAAGCAGTGTTAATCTTACTCTTCATTCGCAGGATCACCTGGGACAGAGCCATTTTGTGGGTGGCGTGTTAATGAAATTTTCTGAAGTACAACTTAATCCCAGCGAGCCGGTTTACTTCTGGAGGCCGCTACAAAGAAAGGTAGGGTAGGGATTGCGGGGATTGATGCGTGTATGCTTAGGAAACTAAGGTATTAACAGAGGATGGCAGTTGATGAAAACACGGGAGAATTTTCATACCGTGTTCGTCTAATGCATACGATGAATTTTCTACAACAACTTCTTTTGATTAAGAGCAACGGGGGTCTTCCAAAATTTGATCGTGATAAAGGACAGCTATTCTTATCGATGAGATACCACGAAAGCACATCAAGGATAAACGTCGTTGTTATGAAAGCTTCGAAACTGTTGAAACCGAAACATCATCTGAGGATTGGTAACGTACAAATACCTATCTGATCCCATAAAATCCCCTAAAACCCAACAAATGCTAAAAGAGACCTCATTCTCTGCTTTTTTGTGCACGCCAACAAATTCCATCAAACTAAATCCGTTCTAAATACCATTTATCCAAACAGATCCATATGTGATAGTAAAGTTCCAAAGAGAGGGAAAAGTGCTGCAAAAGAAACACACGCAGCCATGTAAAGGAACATTGGATCCAGTATGGAATGAACCATTTGTCTTTGACTGGAGTGAAGACACATCAAAAGATGGATTTGAATTTGTGTTTGAAATAAGGCTGGCTTTACCTCTGATACCGGACACGGTCCTAGGTGTGGTCCACATATCCCAGAATACATCTGAGCATTGGAAGGAGATGATGTCAAAGAAGAATTATGCGAGAGCAATGTGTCATAATATTACTTAGTAATTTTTCATTTGATTTTTGATGTTCTTTATTGAATAAATGTGATTGTGGAGAAAGTATGGCATTCATCCTTATGATATCCCATGTATTCCTAATTATCCTTATGATATCCCATGTATTCCTAATTATCCTTATGATATCCCATGTATTCCTAATTATCCTTATGATATCCCATGTATTCCTAATTATCCTTATGATATCCCATGTATTCCTATCCTTATGATATCCATGTATTCCTAATTATCCTTATGATATGCCATGTATTCCTATTTATCCTTATGATATCCCATGTATTCCTAATTATCCTTATGATATCCCATGTATTCCTAATTATCCTTATGATATCCCATGTATTCCTAATTATCCTTATGATATCCCATGTATTCCTAATCCTTATGATATCCCATGTATTCCTAATTATCCTTATGATATGCCATGTATTCCTAATTATCCTTATGATATGCCATTCCATTTATCCTTATGATATCCATGTATTCCTAATTATCCTTATGATATCCCATGTATTCCTAATAATCCTTATGATATCCCATGTATTCCTAATTATCCTTATGATATCCCATGTATTCCTAATTATCCTTATGATATCCCATTTATTCCTGTCTGTCAATATGATATCCCATTTATTCCCATTCATACTTATATCTCATGTATTCCTCCATTCATCAAATACAATATCCAATGTAATCTCATTTATCATTACAATATCCCATGTATTCCCATTTATCAATATGAATCTTGTGATTATCATTTTGTTAATAACAAGTTGACTAAGCTCATTGCGAGTAATGTTTTTTTGAAACACTAAAATCATGTTTATAAATTTCTCAACTAAATAAGCATATCATATAAAACAGTATCTGTAAACCTTCCACTTACTGTCCTCCTAACTGCCACGAGCAGCAAAGTTTGAAGCGAATCACAGGGTCTCGTGTTAGTGACAGGTATAGCCAGTTTAAAAGATGAAAGGGTCTACTTATTTTGATAGGAGGACAGTGAGTGGAGGCCCACAGATATTGTTTTATATGTTATGCTTATGAAGTTGAAAAATGAGAATTATGATTTAGGTATTTCACTAAAATAATACTCACAATAAGCTCAGTCAACTTATTATTGAGAAAATGAAAATTCTGAATAATGAGTGGCATTATTAATTGATGTCTCATGATTGTTGTTTGGATTATCGGATGAACATCATAATGCAAAAAATTCAAAATATGGTATAAATGCAATGTGTTATTAAATTAATGTATCGTCTGTTTATTTACCGTCTGGGCATTGGTAGCTTCACAGATTGGAGGAGCAGGCAGGACAATCGCAAGGTCAATATATGTTTTTAAGCAGATTGATTATCGTTAAAAATATTATGTACCATTAAAAATATTCTACTTTAACCGCTACATAAATATGTCATTATTACAGAGGTAAATATAATGCAATTTGTAATCGTTTCCCACCTTATGAAGATTCGCATCAATAATCCTGCCATAGGCCTCTATTACCTTCATTGCCAAAACAAGAAATTCACTTTAATTTCACCAACGGAATATTCTTGCTTGATATGCATGTATCACAGACCCAATCCGCACTCTCCTCATTGGTCAATAGGTTGTATGCATTTTCAGTGAGGCCAGCACAAACACGATGAAACCACTGACTGCAACCGTTCTCACAAAATATAGCTGCGTCATCATCATTTACTTCCTTACCACACACCCCACATGGAAAGCTCTGAGGTGCAACCTCAAGGGCCATATTAGGATTAATGGATTGCTAAAACAGAGTACACAAATGACCAAATATATACATAAAATATCAGATTCAAAGATTTGTCCCAAAGTCCTACCATAGCACCAGGATACATTGGCATAAAGTTGGCTGTATCTGAAGTCCTGATTACAGACGTCTGCTTTGAATTGTAATCATCCAGTAAATTGTCACCGGAGGAGTTTGTATTTAAGGTTGGCACGAGGCCTTTCGATCTCTTTGTGTAGCTAGGGATGTCGTTATCGTCTTCACTGTAGTTGTCGTCAGAATCGCTCAAATCTAGTAATAAGATGTAAAGATTGAAGACAGAAGATTGGGATGGTCTTTTTGATACGACACAAATCGACGACAGCGTTTTAAGACGCCGTTACTAAGGTACTTACCGCCGTGCCTTGACAACCTTGCTGAAGGACGCTTCTCTCGAGGCATTTCAAGTTAAAATTCTCTACTTTTACACAAGTGTTATAAAAACATTGTTTTTGAATTTTGCCTAAATCCCTCATGCAAGAGAAATACTTTATGTAATACATGATCAATTACAATTGCGCGCGCAACACAATTGACAGACTTGAGACTGTTATTGTTTTTTTTTCCTTGCTTTGGGTAAAAAAACCCAATTTAAACACAAATATAAGCGATATAGATTTTACTCTATGAAGTCTTGATTCTTACTTTTGCATCAACTTCGAATAATTTTACAGACAGCGTTGATTTTCTTATAAAATTGGTTCTAAAATATTCTCTAAGTTGTAGAGAATATTTTGTTTGGGTTAGTCATTTGTAAATTTAATACAAAAGATATGTAAAATCGTATAAGGTTAATTTTAACAATTTTCATGGGAACAATCACCAATCTTGCATCACTATGGTAACAATCACCAATAGTATATCACCATGGCAACAATCACCAATAGTAAGCCACTACGAGAACAATCACTAATGACGTAGTACCATAACAACAATCACCGATGATATATCACCATGGCAACAATAACTAACAGAAAAGCGGTTATGAAATATTCATTGAATTCAAGTCGGAAAAAGAAGACCAACAATGTTGTGCTCATTAGCATAGATGCTGCAACCATTAATAATCTTGTTAGATTACTTGCTTGTTTCATTATGTATCCATTGATGATCCCACTAAATGCCTGTAATGAGTACATTGAAAGCATGTCATTGCTGGGTAACATTGTTATCAAAAGACTTTAACCCAAAACAACATTATATGAATAAGTCTAATGGTCACACATGAAGCAACCAGGCCATACCTGAGATATGATAATTAAAAAAGTCCAAAATGAAAACCCTTTGAAAAGATCACCATTTGTTGAATCTTTTGATCCTAAACAAAAAAGCAGTAAGAATTGAGATCAATGTTTATAATACACATATGTGGAATGTTAGCAAACCTGAAAAATAGTAAAATTTTGCAAACACTGTGATAATGTTTACAACTACGCCAGAAAAATAGAACATGACACTTTGGACAGTAAATGAGAACTGGAAAAGAAAGAAAATGGCTGTGACTTCAACAAAACCACAAAGCAAGTAGCAAATAAATATATTGCAACAACATCAATACCTTTACTTGTGTTTTAAGAATGTACTCTGCAAAGAAAAACAGTTTTTCATAAGTAAATGTTTTCACGAGAGATGCATGTAAAACTATGTGAAGTAATTGTACCAGTGTATATAGAAGCAAAAGCTGAAATACAGCAGTATGTTAAAACAAGGATGATACCAGTTGGTGTAACAAAAATTTTTATTGAATATGATGAGCTTTTACTTGAAAGCAGGCCACCATAACTACAGAGCAAAAGACAAAAAAATAGCATCTATGATACTAGAGAACACAAAGATATTGTCATTCACCTGTTGAAGGTTGCTGCCAAAGTTATGAGAGCAAATGAAACCCATTTTTTCCATGGAATTTGCCTGAATGTGATATATGACTAAAAGTATGTATATAATGAAGACAATATATGTATATACCAGTGTGTTTTTCTACTGTACCTTTTCAAAAAGACTCTGTACAAAATTACTGTAGTGGCAATTTTCAGATTACTGAGAACCTAAAATATCGACAATGTCGGTAATCATGTCTGGACATCATATAACATGTCGAGAAATCAATCACTTCTCTTTGTTCAGGCCAAGCATAAAGTTGCATTCTATGAAGGGTTTGAAGTCAGGAAAGACGTCTAGCTACTGCATTGCTGTAAATATGTGCAGGCGAGGGAAGAAGAGGGTTACCTGATAACTAGCAGGATCAATGTAGGATTGTATATGTACAACAAGATTATGATTGATGGTATACAATACGGCGGGAAGGCTAAACAGGATACATTGCTTCCATGACGAGACGTGAAATTCACCATTTCGAAATGCTGCCAGAAGAGATAACAACAGCTGAAATATTACATATGTTTTGAAAACATTTCAAAGCTTCGTACCGTTGAAAAGTGGGAACTAAAAAAACGGTATTGGATACCTTTAACGATTCAATACAAAGTACAGTTACTGAAACGTTGAATGGAACTTCGCCATTTTCTTTACATGCAGTCAGTAGAGGTACATGAGAGCCATAACATAGAATCCTGAAATAGAGCTACATTATCCTTCCATTTTTGCTGATAAAGCAGCTTTATTTACCATTAATTCAAACATAATCTAGCTCAGTTTTATGGCATAAATGGCAATTCTTACCCAAATATGAACATTCCATTCCATAAGACTGTGGAAGAGATGTATTGAAATGTATTTTTCATTGTTGAAAAGAGAGATGAAAGGCGAGACACGAAATATCACAGAGCCATTTGATCTTTGATTTCATCTTTATTTACAAAACAAATACTACGCTCGGCAATTATCGGCTCTGTACGTCGTGCTGACGGCTCCCGACGGTTTTGCTCGGATACGTATCGGAAATTATCGCTTGCCCGCCACATGTGATTTTCAATATATTTATCAATTTTTTGACCATAAAAACATGAAAATAGTCGAAATATTATGTTTTACTGACTTATAAAAAGTTATGAATAAAAGGGAAAGTCATTGAACCGTACTGCTGTCTATTTTGGCCTTTATTATTTACTGTATTCCGTATTTTCCATATGGAGTCAGCGTTTATGAGTCACCAAAATTCGACCTTGACAAGATGGTAAAACTAAAGGTATGGATTTGCTTGTCAACTTTATATAGAAATGTGTGAAAGCATGATGTATTAGTAACTATATTTAAGGAATTATAGATGTTTGCTGTGTTTGCACAGGCTTATACGAACTGAAGAGACTTTATGGAGAACTCGAGAGCAGAAAACCTGAGATTAAAAGTCGAGGGTTGCATCTGCCGGAAGAGTTTGTACTTCATGTAAAAAATTTATGTAGTAAAAATGGTTTGGGAGGATTTGTTCTGGTTATGCATAAAATTTACTGTGATAATTATTCCAAATTGTTCAGCAATTGTATTTGGTACATTTTAAATACGCCCTCCGAATCATTTGCATCACCAAAGTTGTGTTATAGGTAACCAATAACACTTTTATTTGATATTTTAAAAAAGAGAAAATATCCACAGTTTTAACACAAAATGTAACTCTCTCTAGTTGCATGCTACATTATTTAATGTGACTACTCAGTATTTTGACATTTTGGAGACTGGTACCCAAGACCCAGACTTTGGGTGTAGGGGTAGCCACAGGGACCCTCACTTTGGAAAGGACTAGAGAGGTCTTCACCTAATCAAAGCTCGAAATAATAAAAATTCGGGGCTTTTGAAAGAAAGTTCTATCTCCATTCTGGAAGTTTTGGCTAGAAATTTCACCATGTGATTGTAATTTATGTCCTTGGCTTTGGTCTTGATTATCCATCATTATCACTTAGTCCTTGGTTTTGGTCTTGATTATCCATCATTATCCCTCAGGTTTATGTTCACCAGAGCGTTGAGGTCCCTGTGTTGGTCATAAACTCATAGAAATGAATGGAGAAAGTGTTGTTACAGCATCTCATCATCATATTGTTGATATTTTACAAACAACTATTGGAGAGGTTAGTGATGAGAAATTTAATTATTTATTTTTAATGTTTTATTCCATTTCCTCTGCGTAATTATAGCGAGGCTTGCAAGTTGCAATCTAATATTTGTATGCATTAGTCACTCTAAAACATCGACAACCTCCTGTATTGTTGCAATCACACAACTTAAGGTACTTTATAAATTTCCTTGCGTGTGCATGTTTGTCTGGAAAGGTGTAGATTATAAAATTCAGCTCTTTAACAATCAAGTGCTCTGTCAGGAAACGCAATGATCGATGTTTTTCAAAATTCCAACGATCTTCTTAGCAAACAACAAGACAAACATGTCAAGTTCAATAGATCTGTGATAACAGACTTCTAACCAAAGAACGCATTATAAAGCGCTATTATCACTATGCACCTTTAGCCAATAGACAATATGAGACCTTGACGTCTTTTCATAACTGGTTTTTGTCTTTCGATGGTTAGTTTTTTCGTTGGTTCGGTCTTTCGATGGTTAGTTTTTTCGTTGGTTCGGTGTTTCGATGGTTAGTTTTTCGTTGGTTCGGTCTTTCGATGGTTAGTTTTTTCGTTGGTTCGGTCTTTCGATGGTTAGTTTTTTCGTTGGTTCGGTGTTTCGATGGTTAGTTTTTCGTTGGTTCGGTCTTTCGATGGTTAGTTTTTTCGTTGGTTCGGTGTTTCGATGGTTAGTTTTTTCGTTGGTTCGGTGTTTCGATGGTTAGTTTTTTCGTTGGTTCGATGTTTCGATGCTTTTTTTCGTTGGTTCGGTGTTTCGATGGTTAGTTTTTCGTTGGTTCGGTGTTTCGATGGTTAGTTTTTTCGTTGGTTCGGTGTTTCCATGGGTTTTCGTTGGTTCGGTGTTTCGATGGTTAGTTTTTTCGTTGTTTCGGTGTTTCGATGGTTAGTTTTTTCGTTGGTTCGGTATTTCGATGGTTAGTTTTTTCGTTGGTTCGGTATTTCGATGGTTAGTTTTTCGTTGGTTCGGTGTTTCGATGGTTAGTTTTTTCGTTGGTTCGGTGTTTCGATGGTTAGTTTTTTCGTTGGTTCGGTGTTTCGATGGTTAGTTTTTTCGTTGGTTCGGTCTTTCAATGCTTCGACCTTTCGTTGGTTCATTGCTTTGGTATTTCAGTGCTTCAGTTATTCGGTGCTTCGGTCTTTGGGTGGTGTTAATGAATACCAAAAGATTTACATAGCATTAACGAACTGGTTATGCCATTGTTATTCACTCTTAATAACACTTTGAGTTACGTTTAGGAATTTCGTTAAGTATTACAGTAACATTGTCTTCCGCGTACCACGCTGCCATTCTCGTGTTTATTTACTAATATTAACCTAAATATAGCCATCGTTAAATCTCATGTCCAGTAAGAACATTAATGACAATTTGATTGGAGAATTGGTGAAGTTAAGATTATCTTATGAGCAAACAGCAGTTAAATTATGCATCCATTCCAATCTTGATTGGAGGGTTGATCAGGGTAATAAATCACGTGAACACGCACATTTAATACTAAATGTACTGACGTCCATCGTACTTTATTTTCTCCTGTAAGAAATACATCAATATATTGAGAAACATGTCGTATGATTGTCCATGCAATCTGCATCCCTTTTTTCCACTGGGCTCGTCATGGCCACTGCCATTAAGAAAAGGACAAAGACAGCTTAACTGTTCATTTTTTGTCGCTTGCAACACTGTATTTCTTAGCACATTGAAATTTCATCTTTGTTTATTCAACAAACAAAGAACTTTATAATATTCTGGGCGATGATTATTGAATTCATTTATTCATGACGTTAGAAAGATCAAAGATGAATTGATGATGAGTTTCCACCTCAAAATGTGTTTAAAACCTTACCTTCCAGCTGGCTCTTCTGTGAATTTTTGTCGCTATTGTTACGGATTTCGTTTAAAACCTTACCTTCCAGCTGGCTCTTCTGTGAATTTTTGTCGCTATTGTTACGGATTTCGTTAACTTTATGTGAATTTGCAAAAGCAACCATTGCATGACTAAAGGTTCTTTAAAATTCCTTCGTGTGGTTTTGATGGTTTACCTTGAAAAATGTTGATTAAAATTCCCCTCTTAATTGCATGCAAGCTTTAACGCTCAAGTACTCTCTCTCAGGGAACACTGTCTGAGATGTTCTTCGCAATTCCGTCTGTTGTCTTTGCAGGCAACATGATAAGCAATCAAAGCAAAATTAATAAACTCGTGTTTACAGGCTTGTAGCCGTAGAATGCATTTATCAAATGCTAGATAAGACAATTTTTGGTAAAGATAATATTTCAAGTAATGTCAGGGTTTAAACTGAGTTTGAAGTCTTTCGACAATAAGGTTCATATGTCTAATTTGGGTGAAGTGTTGTAGAGAGGCAGTCGCCTTCCATGTCCGTCCCCCAAAACTAGTTTAATGTGGCTTCTTACGGATAAAATTTATGTGTCTACTGTAGTATCTTATCAATTAGCAAATGTAGAAAGCTAGTTTAATGTTGGATATATGGATATGTGGTATAACAACTGACAACCTACTGTATTTTTGTGTGTTATGTACTATGGAAAATGGATCTTCGTTAAAATAATTTCACACAAACGTTAACATATTCATTTCAAAAATATTAATCATTTATTTACCCATGATGCAAAGCGTTACAAAATCAAGCTTAATTAATTACAACTAAAAACAACAAGGTTTTTTCGTGCCTGACGTGCAGAATATTGCTTCACTGCAATCGTGGTGGTTCAAAGGACAAGGATTTTCGGTGCGAGAACATGTACATCGTGGGGATTTGCAGGGTTTCTTTCCAATTTGTACTCTAAGAATAGAAACATATCAGAAATAAAACATAGAAAGTTTACAAAATTTATGGTACATAATGACCGGGATTTATTTTTATCGGTCAACTGAAATTTGCCGGGTAAAATTTCACCAGTAAAATTTTACGGGTAAATGTTGACGCGTAATATGAACGATTTCCACCGTTTCATTGTCCTTTGTGATTGTGTCATAATGATTCACTGCATGATGAATCTGGCGACAGTTTAGGGGGTATTAAAGATGTAATCCAGTGTAGGTGCCATTAAAAAGTTGCTCCATCCTTTCGCGATCAGCAACTGCCATTTTGTCGAGTCCTTGCCGAATGAAAGTTTGGTTCACGTATTCATCGACATACTTCTCCTTCAACGTTTCTTTCAAGTTAAGCTTAACTGCCATCTTATGTTGATCAAAATTCATATGATTTACGACAGTGATTTTCTTTACAACAAGTTGATCCAGTTTTAAATTTACGAGAGAAATTTTTTGCGTATGTTCTTTCTGCTCTTTGTTTGTGCGAACTTTACAGCGCTATAAATTTACCACTTGGCCATTCGTCCTCGTACTCAAGCCAGTCAGCATTCAAAGTTTCCATCCATTTTTTACTGAATTGACTTTGCTGGAAAGACCTTTTGATGATGAAACCATCATGGCTTATTCGTCACAAGGTCATACCAGCAAAGTTAATTCCATCGTGCAAGAAAAACGAAAGAGAAACACCGGGTATACTTTTGCCTTGTAATTATTTACAGCAAAATCTTTAAGCTTTTATTGATGTTTAATCATGATAAAAAAGTAAATGAATTGTCGATTATAGATACATTAATGATGAATTTGCTTCTCTCTTTATTCTCGAGTAACATACAGCATAACAATCCGACATTGTACCTACATAAGTTTACAACTTGTTCCTTGTAATCAACCACTTTATTAATATGCGCATTAAGCATTAAACAACACTAGACATCTTGAAATCTTTCTCTTTTCAATTTAGCAATGTTAATCTCATGCGTATATGTTATGGTTTCTATTGTCACTAAAGAAAAGTAATTAAAGAATATACTGCATGCCCGACCCTAACCCTAACCCTAATTTTATTCCTTATCATTACTTAGCCTGGTTGTTGTTAGGAGTCTCTGTGCCACTGTATTCTATAGTTGTGTCAATGTAAATTCCCCAATCAGTGCGACCGGATCAGAGGAATTATAAGAATCCAACGAAACTTGCGGAATATTGATAATTGTAAAGATTGCAAATTTTCCATACCTACGTACTGCGTATAACAACTTTAAATGATCTACACTAGTGCTCATATCATTGTTTGAACCTTTAACTGCATTCATAATGTAGATTGTTATTTTATTACGTCATGTATTCTGCGTGTTGTTCACTCTCAATAGTAATTAGAGTTATGTTTAAGAATTTCGTTAGGTATTACAGTTGTAGTGTCTTACTGGTTCCCTTGCCATGATACTCATACTCGTGTTTTTCTGTTAACTATAAAATTATCTAGTGAACGAACTAAAGTTAGATATGTCTGTTTGAATCTTGATTGGAGAATTGATTACGTTATAAGGTCTTATGAACACGCACATTTAATCCCGAATGGACTATTGTACTTTAATTCTTCCTGTAAGAAATACATCAATATGTTGAGAAACGTACCGTAACTTGGTCCAGGAAACCTTGTCAGACCACTTTTTTTGCACTGGGCTCGTCATGGCGACTGCCAGTAAGAAAAGAACGACAACAGCTAAACTCTTCATTTTTATCGCTTGGAACACCGTATTTCGTAGTAATATAGTACAGCGGTAAACGTTAGAAAGCTTGTGTACCTTCAAGAAACATGAACTTATAATATTCTAGAGGACGATCCAGGCTTAGATGAATCGATCGAAAGTTCCCACAAGAAAATGTGCTTAAAACCTTACCTTTTTGCTGGCTCTTCTTTGAAAGTCTGTGGCTATTATGACAGACTATGTTTACTTTAAATCTTTTCAAAGCAGCAATCACTTGAGTAAAGACTCTTTAAACTCCTACGCGTGGTCAGTGGTTTATCTAGTAAGGTGTTGGTTTTATTTCCCCTCTTAATTGCATGCAAATTTTGACGCTCAAGTACTCAGGAAATACGGTCGGTGAAGTTCTTTCCAATTCTGCCTTATGTCTTTGCAAATAATAAGATACACAGTCATTACCAAGTTCATTAAACTCGTGATTACCGGCTTGTTGGAGCCATATAATAGATTATAAGTGCTAGAGAAGACTGTTTTTAGCACGGACAATATTCCCAGTAATGTCATGGTTCAAACTGTATTTGAAATCTTTTCACAACAAGTTTCATATGTCTAATTTGAGTTAAGTGTTGTAGCGAGGATATGGTCCTTTCAACAAAAAAACAAACGTCTTTCATTGATCACCTCGCTTCACATCACTTCAATACAAACGACACAAGCACATCTTTCACGGCAATTGTATCCTTAGTTTTGTTTATGTATCAGTTTATGTGTCATTTGGCATTTCATACTGATCCAATAATAAAAGCAATAACAATACATAAAGGAACTGTCTCTAGTTGCGTGCTACATTATTGCATGACTATGTACAAGCTGTGTAATTAGAGCACTCCGTATCCTAATATTAGGAGATGTGTAGCCAAGACCCTGACTTTTGGTGTAGGGGTAGCCACAGGTATCCTGACTTTGGGTGTAGGGGTAGCCACAGGTATCCTGACTTTGGGTGTAAGGGTAGCCACAGGTATCCTGACTTTGGGTGTAAGGGTAGCCACAGGTATCCTGACTTTGGGTGTAGGGGTAGCCACAGGTATCCTGACTTTGGGTGTAGGGGTAGCCACAGGTATCCTGACTTTGGGTGAAAGGGTAGCCACAGGTATCCTGACTTTGGAAAGGGCAAGCGTGGTCAAGGGACCTTAGTCTACCAGTTGCTCGAGATAATAAAAAATTTTGGGCTTTTGAAAGAAAACCCTCTCTCCATTCTGGAGGTTTTGAATACAAATTTCACCATTTGATTATGATTTATACCCTTACTTTTGGTCTTGATTATCCATCATTATCCCTCAGGTTTACGTTCACCAGAGCGTGGAGGTATCCATGTTGGTCATAAAATCATAGAAATGAATGGAGAAAGTGTTGTTACAGCCTCTCATCATCGTATTGTTGATATTTTACAAACAACTATTGGAGAGGTTAGTGATGAGAAATTTAATTATTTATTTTTAATGTTTTATTCCGTTTCCTCTGCGTAATTATAGCGAGGCTTGCAAGTTGCAATCTAATATTTGTATGCATTAGTCACTCTAAAAATATCGACAACCTCCTGTATTGTGGCAATCACACAACTTAAGGTAGTTTATAAATTTCCTTGCGTGTGCATGTTTGTCTGGAAAGGTGTAGATTATAAAATTCAGCTCTTTAACAATCAAGTGCTCTGTCAGGAAACGCGATGATCGATGTTTTTCAAAATTCCAACGATCTTCTTAGCAAACAACAAGACAAACATGTCAAGTTGAATAGATCTGTGATAACAGACTTCTAGCCAAAGAACGCATTATAAAGCGCAACGTTTTTATCACTATGCACCTTTAGCTAATAGAAAATATGAGACCTTGACGTCTTTTCATAACTGGTTTTTGTCTTTCGGTGGTTAGTTTTTTCGTTGGTTCGTTGTTTCGATGGTTAGTTTTTTCGTTGTTTCGGTCTTTCGATGGTTAGTTTTTTTCGTTGGTTCGGTGTTTCGATGGTTAGTTTTTCGTTGGTTCGGTGTTTCGATGGTTAGTTTTTTCGTTGGTTCGGTGTTTCGATGGTTAGTTTTTTCGTTGTTTCGGTGTTTCGATGGTTAGTTTTTTTCGTTGGTTCGGTCTTTCGATGGTTAGTTTTTTCGTTGCTTCGGTGTTTCGATGGTTAGTTTTTTCGTTGTTTCGGTGTTCCGATGGTTAGTTTTTTCGTTGCTTCGGTGTTTCGATGGTTAGTTTTTTCGTTGCTTCGGTGTTTCGATGGTTACTTTTTTCGTTGCTTCGGTGTTTCGATGGTTAGTTTTTTCGTTGTTTCGGTGTTTCGATGGTTAGTTTTTTCGTTGCTTCGGTGTTTCGATGATTAGTTTTTTCGTTGCTTCGGTGTTTCGATGGTTAGTTTTTTCGTTGGCTCGGTGTTTCGATGGTTAGTTTTTTCGTTGCTTCGGTGTTTCGATGCTTCGACCTTTCGTTGGTTCATTGCTTTGGTATTTCATTGTTTCAGTTATTCGGTGCTTCGGTCTTTGGGTGGTGTTAATGAATACCAAAAGATTTACATAGCATTAACGAACTGGTTATGCCATTTTTATTCACTCTTAATAACACTTTGAGTTACGTTTAGGAATTTCGTTAAGTATTACAGTAACAGTGTCTTCGCGTACCACGCTGCCATTCTCGTGTTTATTTACTAATATTAACCTAAATATAGCCATCGTTGAATCTCATGTCCAGTAAGAACATTAATGACAATTTGATTGGAGAATTGGTGAAGTTAAGATTATCTTATGAACAAACAGCAGTTAAATTATGCATCCATTCCAATCTTGATTGGAGGGTTGATCAGGGTAATAAATCACGTGAACACGCACATTTAATACTAAATGTACTGACGTCCATCGTACTTTATTTTCTCCTGTAAGAAATACATCAATATATTGAGAAACATGTCGTATGGTTGTCCATGCAATCTGCATCCCTTTTTTCCACTGGGCTCGTCATGGCCACTGCCATTGAAAAAAGAACAAAGACAGCTAAACTGTTCATTTTTTGTCGCTTGCAACACTGTATTTCTTAGCACATTGAACTTTCATCTTTGTTTATTCAACAAACAAAGAACTTTATAATATTCTGGGCGATGATTATTGAATTCATTTATTCATGACGTTAGAAAGATCAAAGATGAATTGATGATGAGTTCCCACCACAAAATGTGTTTAAAACCTTACCTTCCAGCTGGCTCTTCTGTGAATTTTTGTCGCTATTGTTACGGATTTCGTTAACTTTATGTGAATTTGCAAAAGCAACCATTGCATGACTAAAGGTTCTTTAAAATTCCTTCGCGTGGTTTTGGTGGTTTACCTTGAAAAATGTTGATTAAACTTCCCCTCTTAATTGCATGCAAGCTTTAACGCTCAAGTACTCTCTCAGGGAACACTGTCTGAGATGTTCTTCGCAATTCCGGTTGTTGTCCTTGCAGGCAACATGATAAGCAATCAAAGCAAGATTAATAAACTCGTGATTACAGGCTTGTAGCCGTAGAATGCATCACCAAATGTTAGAAAAGACTATTTTTGGTAAAGATAATATTTCAAGTAATGTCAAGGTTTAAACTGTGTTTGAAGTCTTTCGACAATAAGGTTCATATGTCTAAATTGGGTGAAGTGTTGTAGAGAGGCAGTCGTCTTCCATGTCCGTCCCCCAAAACTAGTTTAATGTGGCTTCTTATGGATAAAATTTATGTGTCTACTGTAGTATCTTATCCATGAGCAAATGTAGAAAGCTAGTTTAATGTTGGATATATGGATTTGTGGTATAAAAATTGATAACCTACTGTATTGTTGTGTGTTATGTACTATGAAAGAAAATGAATCTTCGTTAAAATAATTTCACACAAACATAACATACGTACTTCAAAAATATTTAATTATTTATTCACCCATGATGCAAAGCGTTACAAAATCAAGCTTAATTAATTCCAACCATGAATTTCCTTGTGGTTTTTATCGATTACAACAAGGTTTGTTCGTAGCTAACATGCAAAATCTTGTTTTTCTGCAATCGTGATGGTTCAAAGGACAAGGATTTTCGCTGTAAGAACATGTACATCCTGGGGAGTCGCAGAATTTCTTTCCTGTTTATATTCAATGAATAAAGATATATCAGAAATAAAGTATTGTAGAAAGTTTACAAATTTATGGTACATAATGACCGGGATTTAATTTTATCGGTCAACTGAAATTTGCCGGGTAAAATTTCACCAGTAAAATTTTACGGGTAAATGTTGACGCGTAATATGAACGATTTCCACCGTTTCATTGTCCTTTGTGATTGTGTCATAATGATTCACTGCATGATGAATCTGGCGACAGTTTAGGGGGTATTAAAGATGTAACCCAATGTAGGTGGCATTAAAAAGTTGCTCCATCCTTTCGCGATCAGCAACTGCCATTTTTTGTCGAGTCCTTGCCGAATGGAAGTTTCGTTCACGTATTCATCGACATACTTCTCCTTCAACGTTTTTTTCAAGTTAAGCTTAACTGTCATCTTATGTTGATCAAAATTCATATGATTTACGACAGTGTTTTTCTTTACAACAGTTGATCCAGTTTTAAATGTACGAGAGAAATTTTATTATGTTATTGTTATTATATTACTTCATGTATTCTGCGTGTTGTTCACTCTCATTAGCAATTAGGGTTATGTTTAAGAATTTCGTTAGGTACTACAGTTGTAGTGTCGTACTGGTTCCCTTGCCATGATACCCATACTTGTGTTTCTCTGTTAACTATAAAGTTATCTTGTGAACAAACTAAAGTTAAATATGTCTATTTGAATCTTGATTGGAGAGTTGATTACGTTATAAGGTCTTATGAACACGCACATTTAATCCCGAATGGACTATTGTACTTTAATTCTTCCTGTAAGAAATACATCAATATATTGAGAAACGTACCGTATGCTGGTCCATGGATTCTGAATCCCCTTTTTTTCACTGGGCTCGTCATGGCGACTGCCAGTAAGAAAAGAACGACAACAGCTAAACTCTTCATTTTTATCGCTTGGAACACCGTATTTCCTAGTAATATAGTACAGCGGTAAACGTTAGAAAGCTTATATACCTTCAAGAAACATGAACTTATAATATTCTAGAGGACGATCTAGGCTTAGATGAATCCGATGAAAAGTTCCCACAAGAAAATGTGCTTAAAACCTTACCTTTTTGTTGGCTCTTCTTTGAAAGTCTGTGGCTATTATGACAGACTATGTTTACTTTAAATCTTTTCAAAGCAGCAATAACTTGAGTAAAGACTCTTTAAATTCCTACGCGTGGTCGTGGTTTATCTAGTAAGGTGTTGGTTTTATTTCCCCTCTTAATTGCATGCAAATTTTGACGCTCAAGTACTCAGGAAACACGGTCAGTGAAGTTCTTTCCAATTCTGCCTTATGTCTTTGCAAATAATAAGATACACAGTCATTACCAAGTTCATTAAACTCGTGATTACAAGCTTGTTGGAGCCATATAATGCATTGTAAGCGCTAGAGAAGACTGTTTTTGGCGCAGACAATATTCCCAGTAATGTCAAGTTTCAAACTGTATTTGAAATCATTTCACAACAAGTTTCATATGTCTAATTTGAGTGAAGTGTTGTAGAGAGGATATGGTCTTTTCAACAAAAAAACAAAGATCTTTCATTGATCACCTCGCTTCACAACACTTCAATACAAAGAACACAAGCACATCTTTCATGGCAATTGTATCCGTTAAAATAAGTGATATCCTTAGTTTTGTTTATGTATCAGTTTATGTGTCATTTGGCATGTCATACTGATCCAATAATAAAAGCAATAACAATACGTAAAAGAACTGTCTCTAGTTGCGTGCTACATTATTGCATGACTATGTACAAGCTGTGTAATTAGAGCACTCCGTATCCTAATATTAGGAGATGTGTAGCCAAGACCCTGACTTTGGGTGTAGGGGTAGCCACAGTTATCCTGACTTTTGGTGTAGGGGTAGCCACAGGTATCCTGACTTTGGGTGTAGGGGTAGCCACAGGTATCCTGACTTTGGGTGTAAGGGTAGCCACAGGTATCCTGACTTTGGGTGTAGGGTAGCCACAGTTATCCTGACTTTTGGTGTAGGGGTAGCCACAGGTATCCTGACTTTGGGTGTAGGGGTAGCCACAGGTATCCTGACTTTGGGTGTAAGGGTAGCCACAGGTATCCTGACTTTGGGTGTAGGGGTAGCCACAGGTATCCTGACTTTGGGTGTAAGGGTAGCCACAGGTATCCTGACTTTGGGTGTAGGCGTAGCCACAGGTATCCTGACTTTATGTGTAGGGGTAGCCACAGGTATCCTGACTTTGGGTGTAGGGGTAGCCACAGGTATCCTGACTTTATGTAGGCGTAGCCACAGGTATCCTGACTTTATGTAAGGGTAGCCACAGGTATCCTGACTTTATGTGTAGGCGTAGCCACAGGTATCCTGACTTTATGTATAAGGGTAGCCACAGGTATCCTGACTTTATGTGTAAGGATAGCCACAGGTATCCTGACTTTATGTGTAGGCGTAGCCACAGGTATCCTGACTTTATGTGTAGGCGTAGCCACAGGTATCCTGACTTTATGTGTAGGCGTAGCCACAGGTATCCTGACTTTATGTGTAAGGGTAGCCACAGGTATCCTGACTTTATGTGTAAGGGTAGCCACAGGTATCCTGACTTTATGTGTAAGGGTAGCCACAGGTATCCTGACTTTTGTGTAGGCGTAGCCACAGGTATCCTGACTTTATGTGTAGGCGTAGCCACAGGTATCCTGACTTTATGTGTAAGGGTAGCCACAGGTATCCTGACTTTGGGTGTAGGCGTAGCCACAGGTATCCTGACTTTATGTGTAAGGGTAGCCACTGGTATCCTGACTTTATGTGTAAGGGTAGCCACTGGTATCCTGACTTTATGTGGGGTAGCCACTGGTATCCTGACTTTATGTGTAAGGGTAGCCACAGGTATCCTGACTTTATGTGTAAGGGTAGCCACTGGTATCCTGACTTTATGTGTAAGGGTAGCCACTGGTATCCTTACTTTGGAAAGAGTAAGCGTGGTCAAGGGACCTTAGCCTAGCAGTTGCTCGAGATAAAGTAAATGGTTTGAACCTGGGAGTATCGTTACATGTTTGTAGATGTAGATCGTCCAGGTTGGTATAGTCCTAAGAAAGACTGTTTTTGTTGTTGTTGACTGACGTTTCGACAACCTTAGCGGTAGTCATCTTCAGAGTCAAATGAGGAGTAAACGTCAGGTTTACTATGAAGATGACTACCGCTAAGGTTGTCGAAACGTCAGTTAACAACAACAAAAACAGTTGCTTGAGATAATAAAAATTTTGGGCTTTTGAAAGTAAACCCTCTCTCCAGTCTGGAAGGTGACATAAACTTTATGATAGTGGATGGTGACATTTATCCTTTAGTCAACCCATTTATTCGTGTATTTAAAGGCAGCAAAGATGAATTGATAGAGAGCTAGTTGGCCAAAATTTGGTAAAAAAAACAACTTACCGTCTATTTCGTCTTGTGCGAAGTTCTTTGGCCAATGTGAACGACTTTATTATTCACCAACGTTCGAGCTTTGCAAAGACAAAAGGTGCGGATTTGCTCGTCAACTTTATACAGGAATGTGTGAAAGCATGAGTTACTTATTGGCTACATATGGTATTGTTGCTCGAGTAACATGAATAACATGTATGTATATTGAGAGACCACATTGAAAGACCAGCATTCACTCTATAACATGTATGTATATTGAGAGACCACATTGAAAGACCAGCATTCACTCTATAACATGTATGTATATTGAGAGACCACATTGAAAGACCAGCATTCACTCTATAACATGTATGTATATTGAGAGACCACATTGAAAGACCCGCATTCACTCTATAACATGTATGTATATTGAGAGACCACATTGAAAGACCAGCATTCACTCTATAACATGTATGTATATTGAGAGACCACATTGAAAGACCGCATTCACTCTATAACATGTATGTATATTGAGAGACCACATTGAAAGACCAGCATTCACTCTATAACATGTATGTATATTGAGAGACCACATTGAAAGACCAGCATTCACTCTATAACATGTATGTATATTGAGAGACCACATTGAAAGACCAGCATTCACTCTATAACATGTATGTATATTGAGAGACCACATTGAAAGACCAGCATTCACTCTTAGCTGAATAATAATTTAAAGCAACATGTTGCACTTTAAATTTTGCTTTGTTTACGACACGAACCGCACAATATGGCAGTTATGGCTAAACTGTAGCAAACGCACAGAACTTAAATCCTTCAGAAAACTGAGGGCTAGTGGGGGGGGAGGGAGAGAGTCACTCATGACTAACTGTCAAACTAACATTTTGCTTGTAAACAATTGAGTTATGTTAAGCAAGTCTTAAATCATTATGGTACGTAAAATGTATGCCTAAGTAGACCAACTTAAAAATTTATATGGCTTATGAATGTACGCTTTCTGTTGTATTGTGCATTGATTAATAAGTTTGTATTTCATAATATGTGAGTTACTACCACCTCACAAGAATGGCAAATTTGTTGTAGTGTTATATCCGTAAACGAATGTTAATAACTGGTTTACTATACTGTCATAGAGTTGAGCCGCCAGACTTAAAATTGTCAAAAAATACCTGCATTATCTTGGTATTATCGAGACTTGCTCTATCAGTTTTTAGATTTGTCGCTTTCTGCTTGTAAGGGCAACAGCTGTAATTCAAATTTCGTAAGTATCTTATGTTTATTTTTTATTACGATAAAACAATGGTGTTCGTGCAATATGAACAACTGTAATAATTTTAATTGTCTTGTAATGCAACTTAAATTTGAGTTGACATGACGTCCTTTTCCCGAATATCCTAAATCTATCGAAATTGTAGTCTAGTCAAGGAGTATAACCTTTTTTGACAAAGTATTTACCGATGAATGTGGTTATCTGTGACAGAGTTCAGAGAATATAGACTGTAGAAAAGAGAAAAATTGACTTGCACACTTTACCGTTTGTCTAGTTTTCGTTTGATATCACTCTTGAAATAATTACTACATTTTTTACAAACAGGTCAACATTTGAACGACAAGAATATCAATACTGAATAGATGAACGTGTTTCAACTCATAGAGAAGCAGTGGACCAAACTGACTATCGACCATGTGAACGTGCTCATTTCTTTCTGCTCGTTCCTCAAGGCTTTCAAAAAAAGCTATCAGTTATCAATACAAATTTTAAAGCAGAGATTCTTGTCGTTATGTTCACAATCATTTGAATGACATACATGTGACAAGAAAGTACTCCTGTCCTGTTCTGAGAATTTAGCAAATGACATACATGTGACAAGAAAGTACGCCTGTCCTGTTCTGAGAATTTAGCAAATGACATACATGTGACAAGAAAGTACTCCTGTCCTGTTCTGAGAATTTAGCACATACATGTGACAAGAAAGTACTCCTGTCCTGTTCTGAGAATTTAGCAAATGACATACATGTGACAAGAAAGTACGCCTGTCCTGTTCTGAGAATTTAGCAAATGACATACATGTGACAAGAAAGTACTCCTGTCCTGTTCTGAGAATTTAGCAAATGACATACCTGTGACAAGAAAGTACGCCTGTCCTGTTCTGAGAATTTAGCAAATGACATACATGCGAGTACGCCTGTCCTGTTCTGAGAATTTAGCAAAAGATTTCTCATACATGAAGGCTGATTTCCATTTAGCGCAAGTTGATACACGATCAAATTCTTGCGATCATTTTTTAATTTCCTTTCATAATGAGATTTGTATCGTCACTCTTGTTAACACTGAAATGTAAACATAGTGAAACCCTTATTTACCTTTCGTTTTCTATTTTTCCTATTGTTAAATGCTGTTGTAATCTTTTTTATTTTATTCAGCAGTCATGACTCCGATGCCATTGTCCTCCATCAATAGCAGGAAAGGAATTCTCTTTCCATATATCTGAATTAATTTCATTTTTACATGTCTGAATGAATAGCATAAAATGAAATAAGAGGAAATCCACTGCAAAACAATTTTCGTGGTTGTCCACATTCACCATGATAATTTATTTTATTTTACAATAATAAAAACTAAAAGACAGCAGTACAAATGGTCAAATTGAAAATGCTATGATTATTTTTCAACTTGATTCTCCTAGAAAGCAACAAAAAGTTTGCGTGTCTAAATTATTTTTATTTAGCAGCTTGTTTCATTGATTGTGATTTAACAGAACAATATATAAAGCTTCTTTTTTATGAAAATGTGAATGATTTATAAAATCATGTTACAAATATATCTTCTTTATACGAAATATATATTTTACTACTTCAAAAATGCTATCATAAACGGACTAAACTTACACTTTTCTCCAACTACCTCTGGTCAGTGTGTAGATAGATGTTTCTCAGGTTGAGATATTGTGTTCTAATCCTTCAAGGGTCAGTTGTTGTTAAGCAAAGGTAGACACAAAGGTGAACATAAAGGTAAATTAAACTTCAAAAATAGACACAAAAGTAGACATAAAGGTAGACATAAAGGTAGACATAAAGGTAGACATAAAGGTAGACATAAAGGTAGACATAAAGGTAGACATAAAGGTAGACATAAAGGTAGACATAAAGGTAGACATTAAGGTAGACATAAAGGTAGACATAAAGGTAGACATAAAGGTAGACATAAATATAGACACAAAGGTAGACATAAAGGTAGACGAAATGGAGGGACCAAGTGAAGTTTGGAAGTAATTCTCAACAAAAACTGCGCACTATCTTTGAAACGTTTTTTTTGAAGTTATCACATGCATTGCAAGCGTTATAATTATTAGTAAACGCATGCTTTCAGGGATATTAGTGATTAGATGTCCCTGCAAACCGAGGGAGATTTAGTAAAAGTCGGAAAGCGCAAGTTGATAAATTTCACGAGGTTTAAGGGTACATTTAATCACTGATGTCCCTAACAGCATGTGTTAACATGGTTGCAGAGGGTATAATAAGTGCATCGAACTCTCCCGTTTGGCAATATTCTCATCAAACGAGTTCAAACATTTGAATATCAATGGTGTTCAAAGCGTGTATTGTTTTTGGTCAGCGAGGGAACAAAGAAATGAATCGAGCTATTTAATTGTGAATTCTGTTATTGAATTGGTTCATTGAATATGCGTTAAAATTTGTTTTGCAAATTCCATTTGGTAGTTTAAATCTTGTTTAAGGTCTTGATGGTTGATCATCAGTTTTTATAAGTAAGTGACAAGGAAGTTGCACATGCGAAGGAAAGACAATTTCTGTTACCCCTCGACGACATTAATGGTGAAGCAGGAATGATTTAAAGCTTTATTGTAACAAAGAGTTCCACTATTTTGAACTAAATGCGAAAGATTTACTCGTTTCCCAAGTATCGACGATCTAACCGTCGAACAAGAGGATCTAAAAAGTTGACTTTTGTCTTTGTAAACTTGCTCTCGAAGTAGTATGGTTTCAATGGACTTGCGGAAGACATCTTGTCATTAACCTTTTCCATTCATCACAATTAAAAATGATTCAGGTGTGGAAAAGTCAAGAAGCAAGCAGAAGCAATTTCTACAGGAAACAAGAAAGAAATGTAAAAACATGGCGTGCTTGTTTTGATGTTGAGGGTATTTTGTCTTAACATTGATGAGGGATATTTAGAACTAAATATGCTTCGTTCCTGTATTTGGAAGAAAATACGTCGGTATGTGTCCCTGTTATAACAACTAATTTCTTCGACGCAGTATTTAGAGATGTATATTGATGTAACATCAACAGCAATGAAAAAAATCAAGGGCATCAACGAAACAAGCCGAATAAAAGAGGGAAATGTAGTTTGTTATTACGTAAACGGCATTCTTAAACAATACAGCTCAACATCCAAACGACGAAGCAGGAAACCAAACTGATGACATCCACTTAAAGATGCTCCTTCCGTTCATCTCGTTCGTCGATCCATTGAGGCTATTAGCTACCTAAAACAACACCTATATTCAACATTGTTTGATTGACCGAAAAACGAAAAGAAAATCCACAAGTGCCATTCGTAAAAATTCACCAACAACTATTGATAACAGCTGCTGAAAGAAATGTGAAAACTGCAAAACCATTGTGAAATATGCAACGGACGTACTTCCTTCGATATCATTGGTAAAAAAGATCTCACGTATAATGTACTGCTGTTGTGTGGTAAGACTACATGACGATAAACGAATTTCTCTGGCAACTAAATGCGTTTTGATTTATCCGTAATGTTCTTAAAATGTCAATGGCTTAAAAAGTTGATGTTAGGAATATATATTTACTTAGTGCGAATTATATATTGTTTGAAAGACTTATTACTTTTCTCTATCTTTTTCAAAAGAAGACATAAGTAACTATAGATGTTTTGCTTTTGTATTACCAAACTAACATTAATATAAATGTATTTATTTGTAATACTTTTCAGTCTTTATATCAACACTCGACTACGAATATGATTTTTGGTTTGTTGCTTTATCTTTAGCTGGAAGTGATCTGTTATAATTTTGATTCGAGACCTTCAATGGTCTATTTTTTGCATTAAATCCTTCAAGGTAGGAATGGCACTTTAAAATGACCAGGTGTCTTCAACGAACTCTCTGGTCTAGTGGATAGACACAACCTTTCGAGGTTGAGAGTGGAGGTTCGAACCCTGTCTGGAATAAGATGTAACTATGCTAAGGATGAATAAGAAATAGGAAAATAAGGAAATAGTGCTGGTTAATAGAACAAAAGTGGGATTTCTATTACTAAACTTTTCGAGAATGGAATGCGACACTTAGTATAAATTCAGAAAAAAACGCTCTCCGATGAGAAGGAGAGCGAAGAAAAAAAAAAGATAGGATCCCATGCAAAAAACCACTCTTAAAAAAACTAAGTCTTTTGCTCAAATTTTTTTATGACTCCCTGTGATCAGGGAGTTATTTTTTTAAATTTTGAAAAGTCAGGAAACCCAAGAGCAAACAGAACGCCCTAATCATCCCTTTCTTACTTCCAGGCACTTGTTCCTCAGTTCGACTTTCTGTCTTCCACATCTGCCGCGTACACCTGCCAAGTGTGTTGGCAGAGGGGCGAACCAAGGATCTTGTGCACCGGAGGTCATTGATGTCGAACTAAACGCCCAACATCGGCCAGTTGAGCTAACCGCTCATCATCGAAAGCTCTATGTTTTTTGGAGTATTTGTTAAATTTTTTCAATGTGAAGCGAAAGAAAAGGAGGTCTTGAACCTTAGATGGTCTTGAACCCGAGAAGGTGAGAGCACTGCACCGACATCTTTACCACTCGGCCAGACGGGTGAATTGGAAAACCGTTTAAAACATGTCAAGTGTTTCTGACTAAACAACATTGCCTTCATTTCTCTTGAGGCTCACATTTAATACTGTGTTTATTTTGTTCTTCGTCACCATCATTGCAAAGATGAAGAAAGAGACTTACTAGGCATTATAGTTGTTCAACTCAAACATTGCAGGAGAGTAAATGATATAACCGAAAGGAGGAAGACCAATGAAGTATGCACAATGTCAGACATTGCCATGTGGTAAATCAGAAAAACAACGCGCATGTTCGTAGTCAATTTAATGGCGCTGGGAGTTTCTAACTTGTCTGTTCAAAGTTAAATGACATATTTTTTACCATCATGCATGATAATATTGTAATGGTTTGTACAAAAGCATATGGTTCCTACAGAACAGTATCCACTTACTAATTTTACAATCTTGCCATGTCTTGAGTGTCATCATTTCAACTATAGTCAATGTAATCAATATAGCCAATGCGGTTTTTGTCGACATTTGTGTCTATCTTCTTGTCTACCTTCTTGTCTAACTTTGTGTCTACATTTTCATAGGACAAAGTTCTCATTTTGTTGAACACGACAATTGAAAAAATTAGTCATTTCATAGTCGAAAGTATTCGAAGTAATCGAAGGTAGTCAATTCACGCGACGCGATGTGGTAAATCAGGGCAGTGACGAGCATGTCTTAGGTCATATTTTCCGATGCAATGGCGTCGAGATCATTTGACTTTATGTTTGAACTAACTGAACTATTTTTTATCATCATAACGCACCAACCATATTCTTTTCAATGTTTGTTTTGGTTGCACACAAACAAGAGTTTAATAGCAAGGACAAAGAAACCTATGAAATGACGTCTTTATGATATCGTCTTTACACAATGACAACTTTTCTCTTTTATGTAATCGATTACATCTTTTTCTCTTTCTATTCATGCATTTTCACAAATCTTAACATTTTTTCCCCACAAAGACTATAATTCATGCACTTTAACAAAGGTAGACACTCTCCACTGAATTCAATGCTTTGAAATTTATGAAAGCGCATGAATTATAGTCTTTG